ATCAGCTGGGGTAGTTCAGTGAAGCAACTGTGATCACAATGGCCCACTCGTAGACAGCCTCCTCAACATGCCAGCCCAACTTGGGAGAGTGGAAAACCCACGACGTACAGATGGCAACGGGCGACACACAGGGTCAAGCTACGGAGCATCGTGGTATGATTAGTTCGGGGCGTAATACAAGGTGTGGCAGAGGAGTGCTCGCTGTTCCCGCATGTAACACACATGCACACAACCAACAAACGGGCGGCTCCCGCGGGGGCTCGCCCTCAGGCCCGGAGAAAGAAAGAGAGATAGCCGCTGAAGAAGAGAAATAGCCCCTAGCGCGGGGCTCGCCCTTCAAGCCTGGCGAAAGACAGAGAGAGAAATATGTATGTGGGTATGTATATGCATATGTATGCATGTTTTCATGTATCAGGGCCTCGGGCTCTTCACGGGGAAGCTCCCGGAAGCCTTGGAGCCCCTGGCCGAGTTCTTGGACTCCAAAGAGGCCACCGCAACCTGCTCGAAACTTACCTTTGGTTAGGAGGGAATGGAGGAATGGTGTACAATTATAACTACTATCACTACCATTCTTCCATATCCTACTAACCAAAGGTAAGGAGAGGGCCGTGAAAGGAGCTCAGTTTCGCGGTTCGAAGTTTGGGGAGGGGAGGCGAGGGAGGTGTTGATTTTTGGGTGGCTTTCAGAAGAGATTATCTGGTTTTCGGTGCGGGCCTGAAGCCGTGTCGGAGTCAGGTCTCTTCATCGTCACCTGACTCAAAAGACATATCACCAGAAACGAGAATCCACGTTAAGAGTGTTAGTTCGGGTAAAGAAGTCGCGCCTTGTCCTTTCGGAGCAGGTCTTAACAGAGGGACGGTCCTTGACAGGTAGCTTTGTTACAGTAAAGTAAGGAATTCGGTCATTTAGCGTCTGCACGACTAGGAGTCGCTGCTTGTCGGACACTGCCTCACGCTTGTCTAGGAATGTGATGGGTTTAGGGATGAGGACTTCTGTGGCAGTTTGTATAGGTACAGCCTTTTGCACGATTTAGGAGTTTAAGGCGCTCAGGGTTTAGGGTTTTGTCCTGGCGTGACGTTGCAAGCCAGTTGCAAAAAGGGTTTAGGGAAACGTGCCGGCCCCCGCCCGTGACTCGAAGAAGCGTGCGGGGTTCGGGAAATCACCATAGCACACAGCACTGTCATGCTCGGGACCATCGTCACCGCTCACATCCCCGCGCCTCGTGCTCCACTAACTAATGTCATCACGATCGTGACCACAACCCCCCAGCACTGCCTCCGTCCAGGCCCTCCTGATGCAACGATAGACGTGTTATCCATGTCGCCGAAGTCGTCAGTGCTCCTGCTCATTCAAAATTGAAGCACACCTTCTGAATCAGCACCAACCGGAGGATCCCAAGCCACAGCCGCTGATGAAGCCGCGCGCCGGCCATACTTGTGCACTGCTGCGACGCTCCACTGCAGATTTCGCCAAAGTTTCTAAGGGTGCGGCCAACTTTCTTCGCATTGGTTAAGATTGCATGTGGAGGAGGCGCCATGTTGCTGTTATCATGACACTTGTGTAACAGTGTAACTACCCGAGCGTGTCATATCACTCGCACAAAGCACATGCACGCACACACACACACACACCCACCCACCCCCACCCCCACCCCCACCCCCCACCCCCACCCCCACCCCCACCCCCACCCCCACCCCCACCCACACCCACACCCACACCCACACCCACACCCACACACACCCACACACACACACCCACACACACACACACACACACCCACACCCACACACACCCACACACACACACACACACACACACACACACACACACACACACACACACACACACACACACACACACACACACACACACACACACACACACACACACACACACACACCACACCCACCCACCCACCCACCCACGCACGCACGCACGCACGCACGCACGCATGCACGCACATACACGCACATGCACGCACATGCATGCATGCACATGCAGGCACCTGCATGCACACACACACACACACACAAACACACACACACACACACAGACACACACACACACACAGACACACACACACACACACACACACACACACATACACACACATACACACACACACACACACACGGGGTGCAAACAGAGACACAGACAGACAGACAGACAGACAGACAGACAGACAGACAGACAGACAGAGGGACGGACGGACGGCCGGACGGCCGGACGGACAGACGTACAGACGCGCAGACGCGCAGACGCACAGACACACAGACAGACACACAGACCGACACACACACACACACACACACACCAACACATACAGACATACACACACAGACACAGGGTGGCAGCGGTCGAGTCAGGGCACCTTTTTGAGGCGTTGGTGGCGGTCGCCTGCGGAACTGGTGCGCCGACGTGGCTTGAAAGTAAATTTCATCCCGACTGTTCTTCCCCGAGCTGCGAACCCTAAACCGGGTGATGGTACAAGAGAGCATCCACTGAAGCAATGTGTCACGCCGACTGTGCACCTAAGAACCTCGCCTGGCTGTGTCCGAGTTGTGAGAGCGTAAACCGGGTGATGAGGGGTTGTAAGGACGATTTTGAAGGTATCCTGGCAGCTGAATACAAAGTCACACCAGGCTTTCTCCTCCTCCGTTATTTGTTGTGCTTTGCCACTTGCTGTCAGATGTAATACATGAATGTAGATGAAAGTGCACGTGTGCTTCAATGCCTTCTCCTCACGCCCATAAGCCGCCTCATCATGATCGTCAGTGCCAGCGTAGTGCTTGGAAATGTTTAGTAGACGAAAGGCACCACATGAATATACCTTTCTCAAGGAAGGCTTCGCGATGTCGGGAAGGTCGTAAAGACGGGCCGTGAGAGTTTTGGGACTACTATGTTCCTGTCTCAGGAGCTCCAGCGTTTTATGGGCATCTTGACTGAACAGAGCTTTACTTGAGCTCCGCGAGGGCTTACCTTCCGCTGCTGCAGTAAAAATCCATCAAATCCAATAATCCAACAGAGCCTTTCTCTGCAATATACTAAGCTTCCGAAACTCAGTTTTTACAACATAACGTAGCGATGCAAGGAGCGCAAACAGCGCGTCAAGTTCAAAGGGCATTGGCTAGGATATGCTACGATTCTACCTCTTTATGTTGCCAAATGTCGATCACAGTGCACACGTCGGTTTGTCAAGTATGGGGTAATGGATTTCAAGTTCCACGAACCACCATAAGCTCATACCAGCTGATCTATGCACACAATCCTGGTGAGGCTCGTCGATGTCCACCACATTTACTTCCCTGCAACATGACATGAAGGGTACACGGGTAGGACTCTAACTCGCTTCGCAGATGCAATGTCGGCGTTTTCGCTGGTGCCGGTCCAGCTTGCATCCCTTGCAACCCCTGGCTCGTGTTTTTTCACACATCGCGAATCATGTACCTAGCACCACACACACGCACACACTGTCGCACCCATGTACCAAAAGTGATTGAAGGAAAAGAGCACTCTGACCCAAAATTTGGACAGCCACAACATCAAGTGGAAGTCTGGTTGAAGCTAGTAATGGCAGGTCTGGTCGCTCAAGAGGTGTCGTGACACGTTGCGCACTGTCTTCGGCGCAATGCAACGTGGTGTCGTTCCCGGTTATGTCCGAAGCCATTGAATTTTGTGCAAAACTGGTTTGTTAACCATGCGTGTAAACACTTACTGCTTGCAGCATGCTTGCATGACATTGTCATCTGGATGGCAAAGCTTGCCAGCTGAGCGGTCATGAAGACAGTATCGAATGTCAACCCCTTGCGACACTAGCTGAAAGAAGCTCGACTCAGTCGAACCGTTGAAAGACAACCCCGCAAGGCAAACTCTCAATCCAAGATCGCCCAAACATGCCTTCAGCCCAGGGCTTAGTGATGCTGGAGTGCCCGAACCAGAGATGGTCTTCGAGGACAGGGTTTGTGTGTTTGTGCCTGTGTGTGTGTGTGTTTGTGTTGGTGCTGTGCGTTCGTCCGTGCACGCGTGGAGGTTCGTCCAACAGAAAAGCTGTCCTTCGTTGGCTATCTCTGGCCTACTAGATACATAGTTGTATAGGAAGGTATCTTGCGGACAATCTGAAGCCACCATCGTGTTGCGATAAACTATAAACCATTCACTACTCACTACCCTATATGCAGTCTCACGAATCCAGAGATCGGACTTAAACGGATTATCTTATGGTCGGCAGTCCTTGCAAGTTGTCCAAAATCTGTTTGGGCGACTACTTTAACCTCCTTCGACTGGCTGTCGATCTACCTTGAAGTAGAACGACCATAGTATGCCATAGGGCGCCCCCGCCCCGCCTCGGAGCTCTGGGTCGCCTGACCATCGAGGGCTTTTGTCGGATTTCACCTGTGCAACCGGGTTGATTACAGGTATGAAGTTTCCATCCTGAAAATCCATGACCCCACACATCCTAGGATATACTAGGCATATGCAACCAGAAAGGTTTAACCTCGAGTATCCGAGCTCCTTATCCCGCGATTTCCAGAGGCCGTCAGACTCCAAGGTTCTCAGAACTGGATTGGTCGTGGTCTTCGACGCATTGTAGCATTGTTATTGGCATGATTGCCTCGCTTCTTCGTATCATATTTATGCGAGTGAGTTCCTAGTACATTCATGCACTTGCATGCACATGATGAAGAGTGGCTCCGCAACCATCCAGGTGCAGCCCTGCAGGTCCCAAAGGCCCCCATGCGTCCAAATGCGCACGGTCGTATACTGGTGGGAGCACGATTGCCGTGCAGATATGAGTCGCACCCAAAATTTGTCATGGAACTCTGGTGGGAGTACTCGGGAGGCGGAAGAGATGCGTACCAGGGCACGATCAGATCAGGAAAACGGTCACTTTAAGGAAAGGCGGGATTTCGAGACCACACCGAGAAGCCCCGCGGAGCCCTTCGAAAATGATAGCAACTGCGACGGAAGCGCGATACATCAAGCTCCACCCGCAGCCCGAGCGGGACTGTGAAAGTTATTGCTGTATGATTTTATAATTACGTATGTATGTATGTATGCATGTAACTTTCTCGGGCACCACGCATCTGGCCGAAATCTCAAGTACGTCAGAATCCACGCAATAAACTGCCCAATCCAGAACCCACCAGTTAAACGGTTGCAGGGAAGAGGAGGGTGTATGTATACATGTACATAATTTATGTTTAACTGTATATATATATATATATATATATATGTTCCTTTATATGTTTATACACATATACAAATTCACCAAGACACAAATGTTTGCATATGGTTGTAGTCGCACATGTGCACTGCACCAAAGCGCTCAGTGACGGATGGCGGTTGTCCGGACACCAGCAGTACTTACTACGTGTATTTACAAGCACATATAGTAATGTAATGTCGATGCTACGTAAGCCTATGCAAAAGACGTACACCTGCGCTGTTACAGGTATCAATGCAATCCCCTACGTGAGATTGCTATTTTGGAGGAGCTGGAGCCGGTATTGATCCCCTTCCGCACTGCAGCCCGGTCGGATTTTAACGGATGCACGTGGAGAGAAGAAAGGAGATTGGGCTTCAAGCTGTCTGGTACTGGTGCTGGCATTGGCACTGGCAGTGGTAGTCGTCGTGGTGGTGCTGGTGCTGGTGCTGCTGCTGCTGCTGTTGCTGCTGCTTTTGCTGCTTCTGCTGCTGCTGGTGCTGGTGCCGGGTCTGGTGCTGGTGCTGATAGTGATAGTGGTAGTGGTAGTAGTAGTAGTAGTAGTAGTAGTAGCAGCAGCAGGAGTAGTGGTAGTGGTAGTGGCACTGTAGTGGTAGTGGTGGTAGTGGTAGTGGTAGTGGTAGTGGTAGTGGTAGTGGTAGTGGTAGTGGTGGTAGTAGCAGTGGTAGTGGATTGGTCCTGGTAGTGGTAGTGGTAGTAGTAGCAGTAGGAGCAGTAGTAGTAGTAGTAGTAGCCATAATACAAAGAATTGCGTCGTTATATGTAGTGTGGAATAAACGTTATTCCTGATTCTGATTGCCCCATTCCATTGCTTCAGCATCCCCGGCACACCTACACTATCCGGCCAAGACGGGCCGCATGACTTTACCACAATCCAAGCCCAGTGCTTAATCGATGGTTTCGGGTTATAGGTAAGGTTAGGGCGTTTTAGCGCAAAGCTTAAGGGCCTTCGGGGTTTAACTGCAGGATCCTTGGGTGTAGGCTTACAGGTTTCAGCTTACGCCCTAAACTTTAGGGTTTCGGGTTTCGAAGTTTCGATCTTTAACGCCTTAAGGGTAAGTCTTAATTAAGTCGTTTTCGGTTCAAGCCTCAGCGGAGTTGCGAGGGTGAATGTGTCTGTCCTGTCGGCAGTTTCAGGTTTTGGGCCTGTGCTCTTGAGAGTTTGCCACTAAGGATGCTGGCAAACCACATAGCACATCCTTACTTTTCATCCATGCTCACTAGCAAGACCAGCTGCCAGAACCACAACAGCAACATCAACCAATGAAGTGCGACCATCAGCGCAGCCGCTTCAAAATCGACGTGCAGGTGAACCTCAAGAGAAACGGGCAGTGTCTGCCAGGAGGCGACGAGTAGTTTTGCAATGTCTTTACACCTTGGCCTGCCGAGGAGGGTGCGCGCAAGGAGGCCGCGATGCGATTTCTGGACCTGCTTGGAGTGCCTGGCAAGCACTGATGCACTAAATGGAAGCTCTTCACGCCAAAAGCCACCGGAGTCCGCAGAATCCACATGAAAGAGGATACTCCGACGGATTGTGAAGAGTTGTTAGGAACAAGCCTTACAGCGATCACACTGTTTACTGAGACTCATACCATGCCGGCTGCTAGACCCTGCAATGGTCCATGCAACGACACAGACAAAAAGTGCGAGAGAAAGAGAGAGAGAGAGAGAGAGAGAGAGAGAGAGAGAGAGAGAGAGAAAACTCGCCACGCCGAGACAGCGCTCTCAGACTCAGGACGAAACAGAGCGTCAATAGATGCAACCGGAGTACAAATTACGTGGCAGGGCCGAGGGATTTGGTAATTCCCAGTCTTGCAGCTGGCTCAAGTATTGACACGCCGTTTTTGAGGATGCAGGGTTGGGTCACTGTCCAAGTCATGACATCTCAGAGGAGCTGATGTCACAAATTTGAGCTTGCCTATAGGAAATGCATTTGTTCAGCCACCTTAGTCTAATTGAAGGAGACACGTGTTTCTCAGTGCATAAACGTGCAAGTGTGCGACACCCCATTTTTTCCGGCCGAAAGCTCTCTGCTGTTGTGGACATCACTTGTGGATTGTTTCTTCTCAGAACGGATTGGACCATGGACGTGATTATGGTTAGGCCATGGATGATTTCTTTTCAGAACGGTATTAGCGCAACAGGGACCAGGGGCCCAGACTTAGGGCGCGGCACAGCTTAAGTAGATGCGAGAGCGCTGTGGGATGAGCTACGTAGCTACTTACTTCCGAGTCCTGCATTGGTTGAGGTTTCCATTTCTGTGAGGATGTAAGGGTTGGGTCATTGTCTCAGTCATGAAAGAAGAATGTCACGACGACGAAGCACGAAACAAGCACGTCATTAGGCTTCCGCTTCCGCCCTGCACCCCCACCCGTAAAAAGCCACGTCCCTCATGAACTGGTGAAGACTCTTAGGGAAGCTATGCCAAAAGACTCCTTGCTTGTGCTCTTAACCAACAGCCTTGCTCTGAGGCACCGACGCTTGGCAGGCATCCGAGCTCTTCCCGCTACGCGCAGGCCTTCCTGGAGGCCCTTGAGACTCAAGTTTAGGTTGTGTGATTTGAGTTCATAGGGATTCTCTGATTTGGGTTAGTCGAGGATGCTTAAGGGGGTTGTTAATGTTGTCTTGGTGGGGAGGTGCCCTGTTCCGCGACATTTTTCAATTATCCAGAAGCAGCCGAATGTCGGGATTGTCAGTTGTTCTGCGGACACACGGTTCGTTGTGATGTATCAATCGGAAGTGACACCTGCCAACCGAAGACAGCATGAACGGATGAAGGCACATCGAGTTCTGGCAAAGCCCGAACTAGTCAGGCGGAATACTGCTGCATTCGTGGGTTTTGAGCCGCTCACAGGCGCCGTTGAAAAAAAAAAAGTTTCTGTAGCAAATGCATAGCCGACGAAGGACCTTAGGACCTCGCCCCCCCCCATCGAAGCCCGACTAAATGTTACTGCTGTTGCAACATGAACTTCAGGGCACCACTGACATTTGCATCGCAAAGTCGAAAGCCATCGAAAGCCCTGTGGGATCGACAGACATTCATGCTTTTGAATATTAATATCTAATCTGAGTAGTTGCTGATGTTTTGTGTCTGTCGATGATGATGATGATGATGATGATACGAAACACTATTGCTTCGCCTTTCTTGCGGCCGTTCAGTCAGCGGTTATTCTTGTTGGTCACTGGAGAGGGACTTTGCCATGTGACGGTCCAAGTAGCCTTCACTGTGACCTGACCTTTTGGGTCAGACTCTGCTAGGTCGAGCTATTTGCAAGCAGTAGAGCAGAACCTGCCCGACGTGGGGTTTGTACGGCATTGTGGTCCTTCTGGGCGTCCCACATACATGCAATAGTACTAGTGCGCTTACCACCCCGAACCCATAACACAATACAACAAAAGCATGAGCAGGCCTTTGCGCCGTTGTCGCTGCAGCTGCAACCTCCGGAAGCCTCGCGGCAGACGCCGGCTTTGCAATGGCGTTTCGTTGTTAGAATCGAATATGCACTGTGTCAGAGTTTGGTTCAGCTAGGCGGCGATTTTGTAAAGATGGGCTGTGCCCATGCTTCTGGGTTACGTTAAGATCCACATGGTGCAAGCAACACCTCGCACAAGCCTTTAACTTATAGAAGGGTCGATTACGGGGCCTGCGTTTGTGCATAAGGAGTTTTTGAAGTTACGCCCAGAATTAACTGTTCGAGGTTTGGGAGCCACGGCAGACCAAACTTCCCGTAGCCATAGACTAAGCAGTGCAAACAGGAGAGAGACTAAAAGTGATGCTTGCAGGTTCTTGCAAAAAGAGGATGCGCCCCACATCCCACACCCTTTCGGAGTCTCATTCCAGGAGTCGGGTGCCGCCCCTGGGCATGCTCCCTGCCTGCTCCTGTCGCGAGGCCTTGGCAGTTTAGGGTGTGCGGACACGTTCTGCGCACAAGTGCAGGAGTTGAGCGGTAGATGCAGGGTAGACGTGCTACGGAGCAACATCGAAGATCATCTCGGAGCTGACACGATGGTTGCGACGCGACACATAGGTTTGCAAGTGAATGCCGGTGGCCAAAGCCTCATAGCTTACCCGCGCAGCATACCACCACAAGGACAAAGGGAACTCCGCTCTTCCGTTTCAAGAGAAACCCCTCGATGGAAGGAATTGATCCTCTCGTATGTGGGAGTTTCCAAACATAGGGGACCCTAATATCGCACCCCAAATAGTATTTGTAGGATCCTACAGATAAGGACCCCAAAACAGTTAGTTCGGCCTGGCTCAGGCGATTTTAGCCCATGCCGCCCTGCAGTGCACAGCTCAGTGGCCAAAGGAGCTGCTGTTGCTGGAGGCTTTACTACAGAAAGTGAAGTTCTAGGTGGGCGTCGTAAACCCTGCCTGCCGTTTCGACGTTTGCCGAATGAGCCCATTGGAGCGACAGGTAGAGTGTGCAGCTAGCGATACAAAGTTATTGTATTTGTTCTTTCTGAGTCTCAAGCATCCTACCGTACGCTGCAAAGAGTGACGCTTTGGTTGAGAGGCTCTGCTGCCAGCACTGCGCAGCCTGGCAGGCGACGAGAATGAGGTGCCTACATTCACGATATAACTGAACTAGCCATGATCTACCACCGCCACGGCCCCTGTCGCCTCCACCACTACTGACCCGACTGCTGCTGCGGGTATTGCCGTTCCTGCTGCTGCTCCTGCAACTCCTACTCGCTCCGACTCCACGCGAAAACTCCTGCTCGCACTTTTACTACATGCAGCAGCAGCAGCAGCAGCAACAACAACAACAAGACGCAACAAGCAACGACACCAACACTATCAGCAACAAGAACTACAAGAACAAGTGCAACGGCAGCAAAGCCACCACCACGACCGCCGCCACCGCCACCGCCACCACTGCAAATAATACTGTTATAATAATGAAGCATGAATGAAGAACACTGAGTATCATACTGCTTTTGCTACTCTTGCTCGACACGCTGTCAGCATCATCACTTCCAGCACCACCAACAAGGGGATGCCGCAAAGGAAGCAGTGTGCTAACGATAATGGTAGGGATGAGGATCGACGCCGTCATCACTAGCGTATGTGTGCCGAAACCCCGCGGAGAACCAGTTCTCTTGCCATACGGACTGCGCAGGCGGTAAAACTGCCGCGCCGGGTGCTGCGAGCATCCGACGACCCGAGGCTCGGGGTTGGGCTGTCCAATTTGCGGTTTCAAGCCTTCCCTTTGACCGCAAAGACTGAGCATGTCCTTTTCGGACAAAACTGTTGGCTTTCTCGTCGTCGCTTCAGTTGTCCGCCGGTTGAGTTGTGGACTCACACGTGTTAAATTGAAAGGGTCTGAGTCTAATCCGATTTTGCAGCTCGCAGTGACCGAAGGTGAACACGTGTCGTTCGGATGTGCGATGTCGATACAGGAGAGGGCTGGTTGGGTAGCAGGGAGAACCAGAATGGCCGGGGTGCCGTACCTACTGATCTTCTTCGGCACGGGATCAGGATAGTTCAAACTTATCCCGTTCCTGAATGGCTGAGCCTTTGTTCGAGGCTTTTCTTCGCCTATGCTCATGCGCTTTGGGAGCAAGGCTGCCGTCTGGGGTTTGCTACACATGGCCTTCGCAATCAACGACCGTCAACACTGAACACACATGGTCTGTCTGAAGCCTGAGCCCAGAACGGAAGACCAATGCATGTATGGACATCGTTTGACATCACCCATGCATTAGGTGGAGAAAAGCCTACAGGTGTCCATTACCTTGCTAGAGTCTTGTCGGTGGAGTGCCTCGTCCTATATCCCCAGTCCCCCTTTCGTGCAGGTCACAGAGGGCAAGCGCGAGATGTCCTACTGAAGCTTTGTGCCACATCGCCGAACACCGGCGTAGCTGACGCAAGGCAAATTGCTGGAATGTTTTGACTTGAGTCTTGAGTTGGCGCAAACATGTGTTTGAACATATTTGGACGTTCCGTGACCATGCAGCCAGCATGACGACTCTACCAGACCTTGCATCCCCTTGTCTCGTGAATCTGCCTTGCCTGGTGCCCAAGTGCATCCCAATCTAGAATATGCAGAGCTGCAAAACAACCTCAGCACACGTGACACGTGTTCCGGCTATCTTTATCCGACAGCAGTAGACTGTAAGGAAATAGTTTGAAAAAACCATGCCAAGCTTCCGCCGAAAGATCAATTGGCGCTGGGGCAAGCCAGACTAACGGGAAACAAGAAACGCCCTGCTTCAGGGTTGCGATGGCGTGGTGGCGCCTGGAATTGCTCGCCGGCGAGATTCCTCGCGCAGCTCGCGTGGTGCCGCCGACTGAATGGACATCATTGCCGAATATTTTTGGGGTACAAGGCTAGCTGAAGCATGGCCAATCTGCTGTCTACGACGGGCTTTGCTTGCTGACCGTGCTGGATCGCAACGGCCGGTGCAAGTGGAGTTTAAGCCCTGAGATAGCAGCCGCGCTTGCCGGTTCTGGTGGCTCGCATCCACGGTGATCCAAAGTGTGTTGTATTTGTTGTTCATGTCTCGCTGTTTTCAAGATCGCGACTCTTCACATATACAAATACGCGGTACAGGTATGTCAGGGCCGCCTGACGGTGCATAGGCATTGCGAACCTTTGGCCGTTTGACACATGCCGGTGTTTTGTCATGAAGCTGTCGTCGCAATCGACGCGTAGCTTTGAAAACGATGTTCACGCCTCATTCAACACCTACGCGGAAGCCTGTTGCAGAACGTTGGTTGTTTATTCCGAGTTTGGAAAGAGAGACAAGTATGCCTGCATGCCAGAACACTCGGTCTTGAGTTCGCCCGCAGGATCGCTACTGGTATGTTACCCTAATTTTCCCTGTGTGCCGATTTGTGTCTCCTAGTTTTGAATCATCCAGGTGCTGGCGCTTGCATTCGGCTGCTTCGACGAGGGGGTGGGCAAAGACACAATAAATAATAAAATTTGTTGATGGAGTTAGACCCGGTACGCCCGATAGAAGCTGATGATGTGTCTGCGGTCTTCGGCGACATGGGCAACCAAGGATTTGTTTCAATGTTGGATGTCGTGGTTTCGGTATCAATGAGCCTTTGGGCCAACGAGCGCCATTTAATTTGCAGTTTGCAGCATGCATGCTCACGGCCAGGAGAGTTTGGCTAAAGCTAGCTGCTAGCTTGTTTGGGCTCACTGAGGGTTGCTTGGCGACCCAGTGCCATGGTCGTCCAATTTGGAGAAATCCCTAAACCCTAATCGTATCAATACCTTGCAAGGTTTGCACCTCATGCCAGTAGAACAAGTACTGCAGGGGCCGAATGTTTCCTCCACAGACGAAGGGGGTCCAGGCTTCAAGCTCCCTAAACCCCCAAAACGCGACCCAAAAGCTCACGGCCTCAAAGCCCTAAACCCCCATAAACCCTATAGGAACAAACCCAGGTAGGAGGGAAAAAATAGTAACAAGCCCTTCAAACAAAAAGAAAAAACATAAAAAAGGCGCCTCCAGCGCAGGTGCTCGCAGATGCACCTCTCGATGCGCGAGAGGGAGGCCGAGTGTTCACAAGGAATGCCGGGTATATAGTATACATACGTATACCCCCCCCCCAAAACCCAGTACATACAGTGAATAATATAGAATATGTATATGTATATAGTCTACACAAACACACACACAAACACACACACACACACATATATATATATATATATATATACGTATATATACGTATATATATATATATATATATATATATATATATATATATATATATATATATATATATATATATATATATATATATATATACGTATATACATATATATATATATATACAGATCAAAAGTACACACACATATACATACACACAGGGCACATGCACCTTCACATTTAGAGTATTTAGATGACGAATAATCTCTGATGCAATATTTTTAGTACAGTTTAATGCAGCTTAATAAATATCAAAATTATCTTCTTTGCTATATAATGGAACTTCAAGTACAATATTACATAACATAATACAATATACTCGGTATACAGTTGTATTATGTATGCAAAGATATATATATATATACATATATTCACACATATATACATGTATACATATTCAAGTTCAGATATGCGAGGTTTCGGGTCTTTGGTCGCTGTGGGGTGCTCGTCAAAACCTGAGGTAGGCTTTAAGAGTTGCTTTGCATTGTAATGTTGTGTTCGGCGATGCGCGAGCAGTTGTGTTTGAAGTGAGTCCCCAGATGTGAAGCCTTGCCTGCCTTGTGCGAGTTGCGAGAGTCAGAACCGAGGGTTAAGATCAATCTTGGCTCACATACGCCCGTAAGAGCCCAGCAACAAACACATTGTCGCCGTTGTAGCCTGCTATGCGGACCCGCGTTGAGGGCAGAATCCCAGCCAATATGCAAAACTGAAATCTGCACCCACCCCAAAAAGGCATGCGCCGTCTACAGAGTATCGGTCGATTGCAGCAGCTGCTTCCGCGGAGTGGAAAGGGCGACGGCGGTGGCGCAGGAGGCCTGCATACCATGCGCAGATTCGCGGTAGGCTGTGGGGGATGTTCGGGCCCAGGTTGTTGGATCAGGGAGTTGCTTCTGCTGGATTTCGCCCAAAGCTGTATTTGGGTATCCTTTGTGCAGGAGAGCTTTGTCTGGAGAGTAGCAATGCAGCTGTGCAAACGTATTGTATGCATAGGGCTTGCTTGGTTCAGCACTAGCGAAAATTGAGTTGAGCCCAGTTTGTTTGCGCAACACTGCTTAGGAAGGTGCAGCTCAAGCAGGACTGTGCTTTCTCTCCAGACACCCCTATCGTCCTCGACACCGAGTCAGATCAGCACATCAAATCCAGCTGTTTTGCCGGAGGCTTGTTGGTCTCTTCGTACCAATCCGTGGTGCTGGCGCTGTGGCTTGCCAGCACAGTTGCAGCTTGTTGCGGAATGCGCCGGGTGCCGACAGAGCTTTCTACTGATGTAGAGATCCCGGCACAAGTTGCCTAGCAAACTGTGCTTAAGCTTCTGAAGGTTCTCTACCATTCTGCAAATAAGTCTGTGCAGAGCTAAAGTGCCAGGGAGGTTTCGCGTCTTGTTTGTCGCGGTAAATGAAAGCTTAAACTCCTTCCTTTTGTTATCATTGGCAGAGTGCAAAAGGCCAATACATTCCATGAGGTGCTCTTTACTGGCAGCCGCTTCTGCAAGGAAGGCTTTGGATTGCCTGCTGAACGAGGCGCCGCTTGCAGGTTCAGCGAGTACCGAAGCCCCATCCGCGTACCGAAAGCACCCTGGGACCATCAACACGTCCTCTCAGAACCCATCTGAGTATCAGAGCATCCATGGGCAAACCATGGCATCGGGCACCTCTGTCCCCATCTCAGTACCAGAGCATCCATGGACCAACAATAAGAAACAACAACAAAGCCGCCGAGGCTTGTTAGAGAGCTCGTCAGGATGAAAATTGTACCGAAGCCCAGCAGAAGGCCACAATCGCAGACAGATGTACGATGTTCGACCGTGTCGTCCGTCAACTACTGCATCATGCTTAGGAGTTGTCGGTCTTGTTGCCACTTGCTCTGTAGTACTGCAGACACCCCTAGAAGTATCGACTGGTGCTGGGTAAGATGCAGAACGAAGCTGCCCGAACTCCCCGATGCTTCAAGCACGAATTCACGCAGCTCACAGCCAGACTTATCTTCGGTCGTTTTCCCTGCACATATGTTCAGAGGTCGTAGCAGCTGGCAGTAGCACTTTTGAGAAACACGTTGCGGGTGGGCTGCTGTAACTGGGCATGCCTATCCACTGGAGTTTGAGTTCATTCCTTCCATCGGAGAACTGCCCATCAAAAAAGGCCATGAAGTAACTGAAGGTTCCTTGGGCTGCAGATGGTTCGAGCCACGACCGCTTGTGTGCCCTCAGCATGGAAGCAGGCGCAGCAGGGTTTCCGCTCGGTGCCCATGCTTGCTGCTCGAGCTACAACCATATCCTGCTTGAAGCAGGCCCTTCACGGCCTACTGTGGCCAGTCGTGAAGCTCACGAGGCAGCAACGCTGGGACTGTTGTCATGCATGCTTCCGTGGCTTGTGGCTTCGCTAACGATGCAGTAGTCCTGTATTTGCTGTGGGCGACCGTTCCAACCATGATCGGAAAGTTAAGGATCTCGCTGAATCCCCACTCCAGGCCCACTCGCACCTGGCGCGTTCACAAGCGTGTGAAAGCTGTTGGCAAGAAATGCACGGCCATCGTGGTGCGGTGGCATGTTACAAAACTGGATGCCCGCGCAGAACTTCTCCTTATTGGCGTGTAGACAACGGAAAGGCGTGTTCAGGATTTTTAGCTGTCTGCAAGCAGGCCGCTTATTATGTACGCACGGTGTCAGAATGTGCGTTTGCTGCGAGAAGCAGAACAGGAGTAGATGCACTCTGGGGCTCTTGACCTGAAAGCTGGTTAAAACTTCGCCCTTTGATTTGTGGTGTTTTGTAACTAGAAGTTTGTGTGTGTGTGTGTGGGCATTCACAGTGGAGTGTAGTTCGAGCTGCGTGCTGTGTCAGGGGGCTGCACGTAGTTTATGTTCATCAGGCTTGTGCTCCTGTTGCGGGGAGGCCACTTTCACTTGGAGAAATCCCGGATCGAGTAAGAGCTACATGGGCTTGCCCAGCTATGAAGCTGATGTTAATTTGTTTATGTGCAGAACCACTGCTTGGAGCCCCTAGCCTTGACCAGGCGGCATGTGGCTGGACTCTGGTCGGAGAAGGGGTGCTGGCGCTACTCCGTCGTCAGGCCCCAGCAGACCATCTTCCTGAGAGTCTCGATCGCTTCCAAAGCGCAAATGATGCGGCTCGTTGCACACATGTGCCGTTGTCCAGGCGGCCACCCCGCCAAGACTGCTGCTGGCTGCTTGTCTCCAGCTCTCGATCATGGTTGATTTTCTGGCTCAGCTTGCCGAAAGGAACCTTTAGGCAATCACGTTATCGATTCATCGCCCACACAGAGAGTGACACAAGCAGCAGCGGGGAAGCAGCAGCTGCTGCACTGGATCTGCGCAGCCCTCTCAGAATGAATGAGTTGAAACCTGAGCCCCGTCACTCCTCTGAAGTATGTTGAAGTCTCTCCAGCCCAGGTTCACATGAGCAACCCAAACTGTAGCATACGGTGCGGTGCTATGATGCTTCGTGCTCTGTCGAATGTGAGCACCTATGCGAAACCCTACCTGGCCCGCCCGCCCCCGCTCAGTAAAAGCATCCCCGCCTAAGAGGAAGGAACCCCGGCATTTCCGCTATCAGACGTGTTCGTGCGGCCTTCGGAAGCCCTGTACCCCAGGGCAACTGCGAATCGCAACACCAGGAGGCTGTGCGAATTTGCCTTCGCTTGGATCCTGGCAATCTGTTTGCGCTGCGTGACCTAGCTGCACACGACCAAGGCCTTTAGACCTTCCAAGGTGTGTTAGTGCAAAATGTCGGGTGTCAACTCATGACTCTTGGGCCCGGAGGTCGTAGGGCCCGGTACTGTAGGGTTTGGATTGGAACCCCCATGATTCGTAGATGTCAGCATCTCCGGCCCCGCCAGCCTGTAGCTCTGAATGCGCACAAGGCGCGAAGTGCACCTCAAGCTTTGTTCTCTCCACTAAGGCGTCCTTTGCACTACTCGCCTCCGCCAGGGGCGTGTGTCCGCACTGCGGCGGGAGCCGCAGTTAGGGTGGATGTGGAGCGATTGGTTGTGTTTGGTGTGTCGCAGGCATGCTGCATCTCGCTGTTAAGAGCTCAGTGTCCGAGCTGGAAACTTCTGGATTTTTGCGGCACATGCTCTACGGGAAGCTCGTCTTCTGACTTCCTTACAAATCAACGGAGCAAACTGTGCGAGGTGGCGGTGTGGCATGGCATTTCATGGCAGAAGCGCCTGCAGGGGGTAGGGGCGACGTGGGTGCCCGTCCTGGCTTCGTGCCAACATGTACAAACGCACCCCGGGCCCCCGGCCTTTGTCTATTTCCGCGGCCGCTTGTTGTCTTTTCATTCCCGAAGCTGATACGTACCAAAGCACAGGAGCTTGACGAAGCCCTGTGCCTGCACCGACCCATGCCTTTGGGCGCCGGCGCTGGCCGTTGGCCGCCCGCCGACATTTATTTGACAGGTCGAGTCTAGATGCGTCCCAAGCCCGGGCCCACGGTCACTTGGGACGAGGTGTGTTTGGGTGAAGTTGAGCATGTCCTTGATGGGTGAGAGTGATGGGCAGTTGGGAGAGTTGCCTCAGGGCCCATTCGAGGCAGAAGCTTGATGTGACAGAGCTACCGAGAGACTCTTCCCAGGTCAAGTCTGCAAGCTCCCTTGCTTCAGGGTGTTGCTCGATGGAAGTTAAGTGAGCGAGGGGCAGATCAGATCGGTACCACAGTGCTCGAGCTAGGACAAGATGTGTTGCGGCTTGAAGCCTGAACCTAATCCTGAACCCTGAGCATCCCCAACGCTATGCCAATGAAAGCCTGGACCCGACCGTCCAGTGCTTTCCATCACTGGGTCTCTCTTCAAGTTCAAGCCGCTCCAACCCCCTGTCTCCCAGAGGTTCGATTCTTTCCGGATCGGCCTGGAGGCCCGGTACTAGAAACACTCAGCACGTCAGAGATGGCAGTCGACAGGGGTTTTAGCTTGTTTTTCCCCAAACAGGTACGGTTTGGGGTTCTCTCCTCAGGAAAAAGGTGGGCCGCGGTGGGTTGGATGGCTGGGCCGCGGCAAACTGGCTGGGCTCCCATTGGGCTCCCTTCATGTTTCCTTTCTGGGCTCCTGGGTTGGACGGGTGGGACGCGGCGAAGGCCCTGGGCTCCCCTTCACTTCCCTTCATGTTTCCTTTCTGGGCTCCTGGGTTGGGCCGGTGGGCCGCGGCGAAGGACCTGGGCTCCCATTCACTTCCCTTCATGTTTCCTTTCTGGGCTCCTGGGTTGGACGGGTGAGCCGCGGTGAAGAACCTGGGCTTTATTGGGCTCCCTTCTTGTTTCCTTTCTGGGCTCCTGGGTTGGAGCGGCGAAGGACCTGGGCTCCCATTCACTTCCCTTCATGTTTCCTTTCTGGGCTCCTGGGTTGGACGGGTGGGCCGCCGCGAAGGACCTGAACTCCATTGGGCTTTTCATGTTTCTTTTCTGGGCTGGACGGTTGGGCCGCGGCAAAGGACCTGGGCTCCCATTGGGCTCCATTCATGTTTCCTTTTTGGGCTCCCATTCAGTTCCCTTCATGTTTCCTTTCTGGGTTCCTGGGTTGGACGGGTGGGCCGCGGCAAAGGACCTGAACTCTATTGGGCTTTTCATGTTTCCTTTCTGGGCTCCTGGGTTGGACTCTCGTTGGGCTCCCTTCATGTTTCCTTTTTGGACTCCTGGAAGGACCTGGGCTCCCATTCAGTTCCCTTCATGTTTCCTTTGTGGGTTCCTGGGTTGGACGGGTGGGCCGCGGCAAAGAACCTGGGCTATCATTGGGTTCCCTTCATGTTTCCGTTCTGGGCTCCTGGATTGGATGGGTGGGCCGCGGCGAAGGGATTGGGCTGCCAATTGGGCTTCCTTCCTGTTTCCTTTTGGGCTCCTGGGTTGGACGGGCGGGCCGCAGCAGAGGGCCTGAGCTCCCGCTGGGTTCCCTTAATGTTTCCTTTCTGGGCGCCTGGTCTGCCACAAACGTCGGCAGCAGAGGCCAGGTATCCGGTATCCTGTCTTGCAAGGCAGCAATGCTGTAACAGTTGCGGGAAAGTTGTGTGTTTTTCCGTGCGTGGTTTATGCTGCAGCAAGATCCTGTGGACGACGTTCTTCGTTCGGTTTGCGGAAAAATTGCCAATGGTTCTGTGTAATGAAAATATTTGTTTGGGATGTAAGCCGATTCCCTCGCTTTTCTTTTTGCTTTTTGTGCGGCAAAGTTGCCCGCTTTTCCCGTGCGACAGCCGACCGATCCGTATACTAATCTCTTTTGTGCTTCTTCCACGAACGTCTACAGCAGAGGCAAGGTATCCTGTCTTGCAAAACGGCAAGGTGGGAACACTAGCGGGAAACTTGCCGCAAGATCCTGTGGACGACGCTCTTCGTTCGGTCTGCGGAAAAATCGTCATTGGTTCCGTGCAAAAGAAGATTTTCGTTCGCCTTAGAAGCCGATAAACCTCTTTGCACTTTTTTTGTGCCAAGCTTGCACGGCAAAGTTGCCAATTTGTTCCGTCCGACAAGCGACCGATCCGTATACCAACCTGCTTCGTGCTTCTGCCGCAATCATCTACAGCAAAAGTCAGGTATCCTGTTTTGCAAAGCAGCAATGTTGTAACAGTTAGTTGATCGAATACGACGGTCCCTGTCCTGCTATAGGTAACATGTTTGACTGTGTAGCTGAATGTGCCAATGACATGATCTTTGGCTCAAGTAATGAGAAAAGAGGTACGTTTGCAGCTTGTGTTCCTCTTCGGGCTCGGCTTCCCTTTTGGGTTTCCTTGCCTTGCCCGGCGATCCCACCCCAATATCGTTGTGCTGCTGTTGAGGGTCGGATTAACTCAGTTGCAGAAAAGTTATGTGTGTGTGTGTGTGCGTTCTCCGTGCATGGTTTCTGCGGAAGTAAGATCCTGTGGACGAAGTTCTTCGTTCGGTCAGTGGAAAAACTCGTCAGTGGTTCCGTGTAATTATAGAACTATATTTATTATGCCTTGTAAGCCGACACACCCCTGTGCGGTCTTCTTTTCGCCAAGTTTGCGCGGCAAGGTTTCCACTTTTCCCCGTGCGACAGCCAACCGATCCATAAACCAACCTCTTTTGTGCTTCGTCCACAAACGTCTACAGCAGAGGCCAGGTATCCGGTATCTTGTCTTGCAAGGCAGCAATGTTGTAACAGTTGCGGGAAGGTTGTGCGTTCTTCCGTGCGTGGTTTCTGCGGCAGCAAGATCCTGTGGACGACGTTCTTCGTTTTGTCTGCGGAAGAATCGTCAATGGTTCCGTGTAAACGGGAACTTGTGTGTTTCTCCGTGCGTGGTTTTTGCGGCAGCAAGATCCTGTGGACGACGTTTTTCGTTTTGTCGGCGGAAAGAATCGTCAACGGTTTCGTGTAAAGAAAGATTTTTGTTTGCGATGTAAGCCGACAAACCCCTTTGCGTTTCTTTTTGCCAAGTTCGCGCGGCAAAGTTTTACCTTTTCCCGTGTGACAGGCAACCGATCTGAAAACCAACCTCTTTCGTGCTTCTTCCACAGACGTCTACAGCAGAGGCCACATATCCTGTCTCGCAAAACGGCAATGTTGCGTGTTTTTCCCGAAAGACAGATTCGTGTTTGCGATGTAAGCCGACAAACCCCTTTGCGTTTCTTTTTGCCAAGTTTGCGCGGCAAAGTTCCTACCTTTTCCCGTGTGGCAGCCAACCGATCTGTATACCAACTTGTTTTGCGCTTGTTCCACAAACGTTTACGGCAGAGGCCACATATCCTGTCTTGCAAAAGCAAAACGGCAATGTTGTGCGTTTTTTTTCCGTGCATGGTTGCTGCGGCAGCAAGATCCTGTGGATCTTCGTTCGGTCTGCGGACAGAATCGTGAATGGTTCCGTGTAAAGAAAGATTTTTGCTTGCCTTGTAAGCCGACAAACCCATTTGCTCTTCTTTTCGCCATACTTGCGCCGCAAAGTTCACACTTTTTTCCCGTGCGACAGCCAACCGATCCGTATGCCAACCTGTTTTGCGCTTCTTCCACAAACGTTTACGGCAGAGGCCACATATCCTGTCTTGCAAAAGCAAAACGGCAATGTTGTGTGTGTTTTTTCCGTGCGTGGTTTCTGCGGTAGCAAAATTCTATGGATTTTCGTTCGGTCTGCGGAAAAAGTCGTGAATGGTTCCGTGTAAAGAAAGATTTTCGTTTTGTGTTGTAAGCCGACGCACCCCTGTGCGCGCTTCTTGTCGCCAAAATTGCGCGGCAAAGTTAACACCTTTTCCCGGTGCGACAGCCAACCGATCCATATAGCAACCTCTGTTGTGCTTCTTCCGCCAGTGTCTACAGCGGAGGCTAGGAATCCTGTTTTGCAACACGGTAATGTTATGAAAATTGTGGAGAAGTTGCGTTTTTTCTTTGTGCGGTTCCTGCGGCAACAAAATCCTGTGGACAATGTTCTTCGTTCGGTCAGCAGAGAAAACGTGAATGGTTCCGTGTTAAGAGAGCTTTTTGTTTGCCTTGTAAGCCGACAAATCCCTTCCTACCTTTCTTGCCAAACATGCACGGCAAAGTTCTCGTTTTCTTCCCGTCCGACAGCCAACCGAAGCGAACACCAAGCTTGCGCTTCGTCCGCGATCGTTTGCAGCAGAAGCCAGGTATCCTGTTTTGCAAAGGCGGCAACAATGTGGCAGTTGCGGGAGAAATGTGCATGTTTTCCGTGCGTGGTGTTGCAGCAAGATCCTCTGAACGATGCTCCCTGGACCCTCCCAAAAACCTTCCCACATGCTTGAGTCCCACCACCCACTCTTTTTTCGCAGAAATATATCGCCCAATGCCTAATTGTTCTTCGCAAAATCTGCTGGCGAAGCCAGATTGGGATCCAACACATTCCAACCCGAACCGGTATGATTCGATGCATTCTGTTTGGGGTCTTCGCTGGTGTAATTTTTTGGGGTTTGGGGTCTAGTCTAGTCTGCTTCAAGAAGGGCTGGAGGGGTTTAGGTAATGAAGTAGCGGACTGAGCCGGCAAAGTGCAGCTGAGATGTTTTGCGGGGGAAGGACATGTTATCCGGATCTCCCTCAATGTCCCCGTGGAAGCATGACAGTAGAATTTACCGAAATCCTGCGGAACCTCAGGTTCTGAGGGGGGTTTCCTTTGCAAGAACGGTTTCGGGGCTATGGAAAGAACCTTGGCTGAAGGGATTTAGGGCTTGGTGCCTTGCAGTCCCTGCTAAAAAAAGGGCTATGGAAAGGCGTATAGGGTATGAGGAAGACTGCAGTGCCAACCGACCTTGGACAGGACTCAAAGAATCCGTCCCAAATCTCATGCAGGGAAGATGCATTGGTGTTGTTGGGTTTAGTTCAAGGCGGTTGCTAGAGCTACCTGTGGGTCACTTCAGGGGGTCATGTTCTGAAGCTGATTAGTATGATGCGGTATTGTATGGCTTCCTCAAGTGGAAGGAAATGCAGTGCCCCTTGGCCCTAGATTTTGTTTCCTGTGAAGGGAGCCTCGAATCTCCGTGCACAGCTGAGCTGAGCATGCATCAGGAGGGGTAGCAAGTCTAAACCAATAGCACCAAAAAGGTGCATACTATTATACATAAACGAAATAGTGGTAGAGCTCTTTGGAAAAGCCCTGCACTGTGAGGCCGAGCTTATGGTAGCTCCCGGCGGACAGCGCCCAGCGGCCCTTTGTGAGAAAGCTGCTGCGACAGCAGCAGTTTCTCCGGCCACCTGGTGTCGAGAGGAGAGGATTCGAGAGGTTCGAGTTTACCTTAGTTGCTTGTTTGAGGGGGGCTGTTTTCTATGAAATATTGAAGGTTTCGGGGGAGAGAGAGAGAGAGAGAGAGGGGGGGATGGCCCATGGGAACAACTGGACATGATGACTGCACAGGATGCAAGAGTGTTTGTTTGTCGAAGTCTTTGTTTGCTGCGGACGGCGCGACACGCGCAGTTCGAGGGATCTTTTTGAACTTTTCAGGCATGTTAGCATATTGCGAGTCATGTTTGTAACTATCCGGAGATTCTCGAGGCTTGCCCAGAACGGCACACTGTCACAGCTTGCAAGGACGCCCCCACGAGAGACTTGCTAGCCTGCGACCCGAAGGTCCCTGCCCAAGCCCACAAGCTCCAGTGCTCGAGGTGGGCAGCGGAGCGCTTTGGGGGCTCTATGCCACCAGCCTGTTGGCCAAGCTGCAGGGGACCTCGTTCGACCGAGGCATTTAGAACAGCCGACAAGTGGAGTCGTGCCATGTTGCGCCACCCTAAATCCAAACAAGACCATACTTCGACTTAAACTTTGCCTAGTTGCCCAACCGAGTTGCAGCACCACCCAACAGTGAAGTGCGCACTTCAGCTCCTCAAGGCTTGTGGAAGTTTAGCGTGATGATGCACCAAGTTGGGGGCTAGGGCTTACATCCCCGGGCCACAAGTTTCGAGCTACATGTGCATTATCTAACATACAGGCGCTTGCGGAGTCGCGGAGTGCCTCGAAGTGTGGTTTACCCTACGCAGGCTAGCGGAAAAAATGCACCCCGTTAAAACCAAAAAACCGTAGTTTTGGTTATTTCCGGCGGAGGCCCCAGGGCTCACTTGTCAACCCATGTGCACGCGCCAAGTAAGAGTCCACGGGGAGAGCAGGGGACTGGGGCTCCCAGCATGTTCAAGCTAGTGGGTCGAACGATCGGCCCAGCGCAGTCTAGGCTGTACACCAATCTGAGTCAGCGATCAACCACAGCTCAGAACTGACCTGCTCGGCTGGCTGTTCACATTACCTTCTTGCAGACTGCAGACGAACCTTGTTTCAGCATCTGCTTGATCGCAGAAAGGGAAACCCATGCCGGTCTTAAGCATAGGTAGTTATAGGTCGGAACTGTCAACAGTCTTTACAAGCGTTCGAATGTTTTCAGTTTGGTAACAATCGCCATAATTGTGATGATAACGTGGAGAGAAAGTTATGATCGAATTATCATCGTCGTAGTTGTCTAATAGTCATGGTTGTAAATACTAACAATAATAAGAAATATTATTATCATGACAATACTAGTAGTTTGAAATCGAATCATAGCAATAAGTAGAAGATTAAGAGTAACAAGAGGAATACAGATTGTAGTAGTACGAGTCGTAGTCGTCGTAGTAGTAGTCGTAGTAGCAGTAGTAGTAGTAGTAGTAGTAGTAGTAGTAGTAGTAGTAGTAGTAGTAGTAGTAGTAGTAGTCGTAGTAGCAGTAGTAGTAGTAGTAGTAGTGATACCAATAAGAGTATTAACTTGGCAGTCGCCAGACGCGCCATTTGTAAAGCAAGACACAATGATACTAGCAACAAGAACAGCAATGACAGCATTATTCATGCGACACTACTACTACCACCACCACTACTACCACTACTAGACTACTACTACGACTACTACTACTACTACTCCTACTACTACTACTACTACTAATGATAATACTACTTTACTTCTATGCTACTATCACTACTACTACTACTACTACTACTACTACTACTACTACTACTACTACTACTACAGCTACTACGGCTACTACTACTACTACTACTACTACTACTACTACTACTACTACTACTACTACTACTACTACTACTACTACTACTACTTCTATGCTACTACTACTTCTATGCTACTACTACTTCCAAAAAAACTACTATGCTACGACGACTACTACTACTACTACTACTACTCCTGCTGCTACTACCAATATTACTACTACTACTACTACTACTACTACTACTACTACTACTACTACTACTACTACTACTACTACTCCTGCTGCTACTACCAATATTACTACTACTACTACTACTACTACTACTACTACTACTACTACTACTACTACTACTACTACTCCATGTCAATCCTACTGTGAACCCTCTGTGCTTATACACTTGGGGATTCGGAACCCGAGGTTTCGGAATCAGGTCCCGACATTTTCCAGCCGTTTGCCAGAAGACGGGAAATCTAAAATCCTGGAAAGACAACTCCTAGAACGGGCCGGCTTTTATGTTGTCAATTAATATGTTAACATCGTTATGACCAGATATGACCAGTCTGCTATGATTCATTCTTACTAGTACAAGCTTTATGCTTGAGAACAGCCCAATCGCAGGTGTTGCCGAGGAGCTCTGGCGCTGCACGGTGCGTGCAGTCAGCCACGCACCGTTGTGCAAGGCAGATTGCCTGCCTCAGGGTTTTACGATTGGGCCATATAGGGCTCTATAAAGGTTTAGAGGGTGAGGGTTTAGGGATGTCTTCTAGCGTTTAGCGTTCACGGCGTATTGGGTTCAGACTGGCATGGTTCACAGGTTTGGGCTCTTTTGGTTCTTTAGGCGCGGCTCATGGAGCTCCAGTTGCGAGAGCGGTAGGGCACCCATGAAATTGCGTGCAGTATTTGCTGCACAGAAGGGCATCCCATAGGGTTTAGCCTCGAGTCTGGGAAGTCAGCGAACGAAGGCGCATAGTCGTTTCTTGTCAGCGGTGATAGTATGGGAGGGGGGTGATAATATGGGTGGGGGAAGCTCTAAACCCACGTCTTCATGCCTCCACCACCTTGATATGGAATAAATGTGAGCCTATCGGTTTGCTTGCGAAGAGGAATGAAGCCCCTCCGACTGATTGATTCCCTGCTTGGACCTCAGCCGTGACCCTAGGCTAAAGCTCTTCTGAAATGCCTCCTCCTTGCTTGAGGTACTATGGCTTCTGCACTTAGCAGGCTGTGAGGTGCCTTTGGGTCTTCGGGCTCTTGAGCCAGCATCCGTAAATACTATCCGTATGTCTGCCTGCCTGCCTGCCTGCCTGTCGGTCTAGCTGTCTGACTGTCTGCCTCTCTGTCTGTGCGTCTTTGTCGTCCAGCTGGAACGCCCCGCTGTGCTTCGGGCAATTCTGATATGCCTTGGCCAGATGGATGTGACATAGCGGCAGCTGCAATTACTCTGTACTGCATGGAGGGCTGTGAGAGGTCAGGATGTCAGCCGGAAAAAGGCAACACCTCCTTGCTTGCGACATTCGCCATGTTCGGATCGTGTTCATCTGCTACATCTACAGAACACCGGCTTGGAGCATGGTCCTTAGATGAAGCGCCCCGGAAGCCGGAAAGCTGCCGAGCCTTGGAATCCTCCAAACACAGCAGGCACGAGCCGGTGGCCCAGAGCCCACACCAGATGAGGACTGCATAGCTCAAACGAAGTGCGCAGCTTATAAGGGTTTTAGGCCTCAACTATATGTTATAAACATAATAAGGAACTCCCAACATAGTATAGGTAGTTAACCTTGAGATCCGCCTTTTTCTTTTAGACCAGAGCTTCGCCGGCCCGGCGTGGCCCGTGGAGATTGATCCGAGCACTTAAAGTGAGAAACCGTGCCTCCCTGCCTTCAGAGCTCTTAGGGGCCCAATTCCTCCGTGGAAAAGTCAATTACCGTGCATACGCACCATAAGACCTCGACTAGGCATGCTGGGCTTTGCTTCGCGTTTAGGTTGTCGGGGCGTGGCGTGTCTGGCGAGGGTTTTCCACCCTGTGAACACTGGTGACATTGGATCCCTGCGACATCTTGAGATGCTGAGACCGTTGGAGTTTAAAGATGTCGTGGAGCTCGTTCGGTCGGGGGGAAGTTGATGTTGGTATCCGTCCGACTTCCCGTAAGCTTTGACACGACGGACAATCAGTAAGAACTTAGACTGGACTGTGAGACGTCTCTGATTTGATTTTTGTGCGCCCGTGCAGCTAGAGCTTGTTTCCCATGCCCGACTACCAAAAGTATAGCTCAAGTCCACAGCAAGGAGGAGGTGGTGGACCTTGTGGAGGCTCCGAAGTTTCCATGGCGCACGTCAGCCTTTTGGGTAGAGGGTGATGTGTTCTGTGAAAGTGTGCTCAGTGCATAGTGCGGACGAAGACTTGCAGTGAAATTGGAGCTGCAATAGTATATAGTCCTGTCTTAGGAAAGCAGCAGCACTAACTGTGAGCGACACTTCAGCGCGCCCTTTTTGGCGCCAAGGCTCAAACGGGAAAACGACCGGCTTGCGTAGCTCGCCCTCGCGGCAGCATGGCCGCTGGAGGGGGTTGAAATTAAACCAGAGATCTTATGAAGTACTCGAGCAAACGAAAGCCGGATTCCTCACCGATAGGCTCCGTACAGTGCCACTATTTTGGGGAGTTTCGTGCGACGGCGAAACAACACGAAACGAAAGCCGCAGAGAGGCTCTCTCTTGAACTGCTGTTGAATGGTCTAGTTACACAGTGTGGGAAGCTCCAATCCGTTGAGCACGGGAGCTCCCAAGCCCCCCAGCAACTCTATTCGAGGATTCTCCGTTAAGAGAAAAGGCAGAGGAAAGAAAGGTTCCTATTTCTAGCCCAGCACAGCTGGACTGATTGCCCCGGAAAAGTCTTCGAAATTTAAGGCAAAAGCGGTTCCTGTCGGGATCCTGATAGAGGAGCTTGTCCCGGCTGGTGAAGATGTCACAGCATTCCTAGCTGGACCGCTTAGAGACGCGACTGCGAAAGACATAGGGCTGGACATTATGGAGACAATCCTTTAACCTTATTTTTCATTGGAGTTTGATTTCAATAACAGGCAAGAACAGAACGAGGCCAAAGGTCGCAGAATTTGTTGACTGATTTGTGGCAACAAAGGACATTGGGCAGGAGAGTGACGCGGAACGCTGCATGGCCATGTCCAGCTGTTGAAAGACTGCACACTTTTCCACAATCTCTGGATGCCTGGTACTAGCCCCAGGAGACGTTGAGGAGGATCATGACGAACAATCCATCCTCCAAGTCATTGGACATCCTTGAACCTTCCCCTGAAGGGTGCTGGGAACGAAAGACAGCTCAGCTCAAGCGTCTGAGCCACTGCCGCTCAAGCTGCTAAGCTGTTCCAGGAACTCCGAGCCGATGCTCCTCAAACTCCTAAACCCGAAAGGCCTAAAGCCCCAAAATGCCCAAGAGTGTACCCTGCATCGTAGGTTCGTCCTAGCCGCTAGCGGGAGGCAACAAAAAGCCCCCAAAACCCTGACTCTGACGGTTTTTCCGAAAGCCCTCCTGGACGAGCAGGCCCTCGAGTCGAAGCAAATCTTCCTCCAGGGCGACCCCTTGGAAGCCATTGCATAGGACTGGAACTTCAGAGCCTTGAGGCTTCAGGGTTGGTGGCTGTTGTTTCTTCGTGGTGGCTTCGGGTTTAGGTTGCGCGTCTTGCATAAGTCTTTGATACGGCATTCATGTAACGACATGGTGCCTTCATGATATCGCTTTTTCGATTTAAGGTACAGGCTTCAGGGATCTTCAGACTTAAATGGTATTTGAGAATCATTATGATGTAGGCCTTAAGGCTTGTAGTTTTTTTGACTCGCGCGAGTGAACTGGACTATGAAGGATTTAGGGCCTGGCCTTTATAGGTTATGTAGGGTTTGTTGGTTCAGGCTGTATTCACGGTCTGTGGTGTTGCAAGAGTTTGTAGGTTTAGGGTACTATGGTTTAGCGTCTCGCTTAATGAGTGGGGTTTGGATCCTTGATTCAACCAGAAGACGCGGCCAGGTGTGCGGGGGCTGGTAGGCTTTGGGTCCGAACGATCGATGATGCTGCCAGGACCGCATGGCATCGTGGGTCGAGTCGTCGCAGCTTTGTCCCATCTTCAACTTGCTAAGTGGCCAAAATTGGCCTGTTGATCTCCGTTTCCAACGGCTTGTGCATAGCCACTGTCTTGTTGCAGCATGCATTCTGAAATCCTTGTTCCTTATCCCACGTGAGTCGATAGAGACTTCAGCCAGTGGCCCTCGCTGTACATAGAAAAGGCTTCCAAACGCGGCCTGAAAAGGGCTTCGGTGTTATCTCTTGAGTTGTACATACAGGCCCCTGGCAGGGTGGCGAGGTGTGGAGCGTGGCTGAGCAACATAAGCTCCGAAGATCTTGAATGTGTTCGGCTTCTCTTGGAGCACAATCCTCGCTCCGACGCATCTGGAGCTCTGGGGCTCTGAGCTTAAATCTAAGCAAGAGGTGTTCGACATGAGCCCTACAAGTACCTTTCGGAAAGTTTCAGGATTTGCGAACCCAGGTCGTCGGCACAAAACAGAGCCAAGGCAAAACGACGCAACTTAGACCCTGCACCCCAGACTCAGAGCTCTGAACTGAACACCATGACACTGGAAGATGAGAGACGACAGCGTGAGTTCACCTCCCTGTAGAAGGAAGCAATCGAAGCCAGTCTCTCGACCGAAAACCTCGAAGCCGTACAAGTCCAGCACTTGATGTCTTTGAGCTGACCACGTTATACTACACACGCAGACCATGTCAGCATCTCGTTCTTTCCGACCACGTATAAAGTATAAAGCACTGAGTGCAGAAGTGGGTTAAGATGTTCACGGACTGTGTTGGTGCTGGCTAACACGTCAAGTTCATGCCAGGCTCTCTGAATTGAGCACACCATGACCCCATGACCTTTCACTTGCTTTGCTACTTACAAGTATGACGGAATTTTCAAGCAAAACAGTTTGTTGGAATCCACGGACAGGAGCCTCGGGGCGTAATAGATTTTTGGGTCTGAAGGGTTTTCGACGTTGGGCTTTCTCCACCAGGCGATTTCGTCTGAAGAATCAGCCCGGTTACTGCAGAGGAGTTAGAGCTTCAGGAGCTCGAGCCAGAGACGACACGAACTCCGCAGCCCTGAGAGCGCAAAGAGGCCCTGAGCAAGCTCTCGGAGCCCTCCAGACTTCAGCTCCCTACGGAAACCTGAAGCCATCGGGCCTCAGTCAAGGTTTAGAGTAAGACGAAACAAACGCCTATGGAGTTGCAGTGCCGAAACTGTTGTTTTGGCGATTGAGCTCCCTTCGCCTCAACTTATGAAGCCTTTTAAAAACTCTTTAAAACTGTGGAACAACAGTTCAGAGCCTGGCGATCTCCAGAAATCCTGTTGACCGCACATTCTCAAGAGCAAGAAGAGCAACTAAACCCCCAAAACCCTCCCGTAAGCCTTTGCAGCCAAGCCCTCCTCGAGTCCGAGTGACACAGAAGCCTTCTGATCGAAGCCCGGAAGCATTTTCTGAGGTGATGAAGCCCAGCGCTCTGAGCTCGTTGAGCGCCTCACGTTGGTCAGGGCCCTCAGACGTCCGTCCACCAAGATTGCAGAAGCGGTATGTACTGTACAGTACTGTGGGAAACTCAATAGTATCATTTGGCTACTACCATGTTTTTCATTCTGGTTTGCCTTTTGAACAGCAGCAGACAGAAGGGCAATCAGAATATATCCTGGCATGTTACGGCAAGCTTGTCGTCGTTTAATATCACTGGTTGCGAGGTACGGCTGCAGCAAGACGGGCAAGAATGATCATCACGGTATGTTATGCGAATTGAGATGAAGCGAGCCTCCGCGCGGGCAGATCGAGCGCGGAGCTATCAAAGTTAATGCGGCCAGTGGGCAAGGCAAACAAAGCAAGCAAGGGCGAGCCTGCTCATCCCGAGCGCACTCGCTCGACAATACGGCCGTGCTTTGGAAGCTTACGTCCAAAACAAGAAAAACAAGACCGTACTTCGAGCGAACCTGAAAGCGAGGGTTCCGTGTTGACAAACGAGTGCTGGGGGGGTGCTTGCGGCATTTGTGGTCTGATTCTGATGTCTAGTAAGTCTAGTAGTGCTATGGACTCTCCCGATGGCGAGAATGGCCATGTCGACTTGAGACTTGTGATGAGTCTTTTGTCGTTCGCTCACCTGGAATCTACTCGATACAGAGCACAGAGTTATCTTTGTTCAAGCCAGGCCGCCATACTTACTACAATATCAGAGCTGCGGTTCCGAGACCCACAAACTAGTTCTCTACAGTATGCTACAGTCAGGATTCAGACCTCCCAGAATTATCATGCGCCACATGCACATGTACCATTTTGCATGTAAGCTAGCGCGCCCGTTTTCAGCGTGCATGTCTACTGTGTCGGGTTATGCAGATACGTAAGACGTCAGCAGTAGACACTTATGTTCCACTATGAGACATAGCATGTTCGTGCCCTTACAGTGCACTGGCCACTTGGAGGTGAAGTTTGCCGACAAGTGGGTGTCCGCAAGCCTGCCGGCCCCTGACCTGAGCTGCCTAGGGTTGTCTAGCAGCCAGTCAAGGCTTCGGGCTAATGGCTTTTGTTTCAGGGGCTTGTGTTGGGAAGGTTTACTTAGGGTTGAACGCTTCAAGGTCTACGCAGGTCCGCGTGGGAACTTTGTGTCTCGATGCCATCCAAGGCTTTCATCTGAAGCTGTTGGAGCATGGTCCGAGCCGGGTATACAGGAAGACACGAATCACTGCCATGAGCAGGGGTCAAGAGAGTCATTGAAATTGAAGCCATTGTTCAACAGCTTGCCTTTCTTCTTATCTCCTGACTGCATACGGCTTGGCACCCAGAATTCCGGCTAAATGCACCCATTTTCTAGGGCTGGGGAGGTAGCTTATTCTTACAGTCTAACTTACGCGCATTAAAAACCTAGGAAGTTTCTTCGACATTTGATAGCACAGCGCTGTGTTTGAAGCTCTGTAACCTTTGAACGGTCTGTTAGCTCATATCTAGACACGGAAGCTCGGATGTGGAATGAGGTCAAGCGGCTAACTGGGATCCAAGCCGCGAAGAGGTGCTGCGGATTCGGGACTGATCTGCTTCTGCATGTGAAGCGTGCTGGGGTTGCATAGTAGGTCGTGTTTCTGGACAAGGTATTTTATGATACCGGGCGAGGATACTGAGCGCATGACGGACGATTGCAGCAGGTATTTCTGCGCCCTTCTGCCAGCCAGCAAGCTATACGAGCCACGACAGGTAATAAGGCAACTATTTCCTGCCATGGCAAGAAGGGCACATCTGTCTGGGTTTCTAGTGGCTTCAATGAGCAGCCATATTTACCATACCTACAGTATACGAGAAGAATTGATACGACACTTGGCCAAAGTTGCCGAGAAGAGCCAAACACTGCATGGCGGATTCTGATGGAGATGCGGCCGAGGCGCGGGGCATTTGACGGACTGTTTGTGGGCAGATGAATGGGGCTGTAGCCACCTTGAAGTTCCAGAGCTCTCATAGACTGTGGCGTTAGCCACCATGTATGACTGTATCACAATGACAGCTCAGCTTGTGCAGCCCGCAACGCATGCGGCCATCACGCCGCTTGCCTGGCGGATGCTTTTTGAATGCACAGGACGACTACGACTCGGACTTTCAGGATGAAGCTGAAGATGACAGCGAGGACAGCCTGGTCCCTTGTTTCCGCGTACGCGAAACTCTGCCAACGGGCACCATGCATGGGGTGCACAGAAAGCTCCTGAAAGCACCGGAACCGCAGCTGGCGCGCGCAGATGACATGCCAGGAGGATGCAGAGAAGAATGAGGCTGAGCAAAGCGGGCAAGACGATCCTAACACAGGATTTGCAGCCTGGCGTGTTGCGGGCCCGGGTAGGACGTCGGCATTCGTGACGCGTCGGCTCAGCATCGGAGAGGTCTTACATCCGGACTGTAGATCTGCGATTGGGTTTACAAGTTCTTGACCGGGGAGTAGCAGCAGAACAACGAGAGTGGACCGACCAGCAAGACGATAGCCCGCTCTTGTTGCCTGAGTTGCCTTTTGCAGCCGAAAGTCTTTGACGTTGGCGGGCAACCGCGTCGCGATCTGTCGATGAAGACGCCAAGCTGCTAACACTCCCGACTGGAAGCGTCATCTGGGCACCGCTCCTCCCGGCCTCGAGTCCCACAGATCCTCCCACACCATTTCCCAAGTTTCCTTCCAGCCCTGAACCAGCCGTAGCATGCTTATCCCATGGCTTTCATGAGGTTTCTGCAACCTATGCGACGCCCTCCAGGACGGTCTCTGTGACAACCGCCACCTGGCCTCGAATCCCGGAATCGTTGTGTGCAGATGTCGGATCAGTCCATGCATTCCTTAATACGGTCCAGCCTTGTTACTAGTACAAGCAGTGCCTGTAAACCGACGCCCACCCCTGTGCATGAGATATGATTGCTGCTGCCGCTGCTGCTGCTCCTGCTGCTACCACCACTGCCACTACTACTACTACTACTACTACTACTACTACTACTACTACTTCTTCTTCCTCTACTACTACTACTACTACTACTACTACTACTACTACTACTACTCCTCCTACTGCTACTGCTACTGCTACTGCTACTGTTACTACTACTGCTACTGCTACTGCTACTACTACTACTACTACTACTACTACTACTACTGCTACTGCTACTGCTACTGCTACTGCTACTGCTACTGCTACTGCTACTGCTACTGCTACTGCTACTGCTACTGCTACTGCTACTGCTACTGCTACTGCTACTGCTACTACCACCACCCCACCAGTACCGCCGGCCACCACCACTACCGCTGCTACTGCTCCTGTACTCCTGCTGCTCCTACGACTTGTGCTGCTCGTACTACTGAGACGACGAAGATGCTACCACAAGAAGTGGGGTCTCGGAAAGTAAGGGAACCTGATCCTATGTAAATAGTGGCATCTAAGAAGGATCACAAGTTATTTTCTGGAAAATCACATCCAATGGCCCGATGTTAAGATCCCCCAAGGTTTCCAAGAGACCCGAACGCTCCGAGGCCATTGTTTCGGAGGGCATGCCCCTTTGGCAAGGCCCTTCAGATGGCAGCGAGGCACGGATGCACGATCGAGACTTGACATTTGGGACGACATTTTCGGTTTCTGGCTAGCCAATTCGGCTGCCGTGCTCTTAATGCAAGCAAATCTGGTGTTGGCTTTTCGAGTTAGAAGGCTTGGAGAATCGGTTGGCGACGACGGCTGTACTGCCCTAGAACAGTTCGAGAAGGCTCCTTGACGAGTTGAAGCCTGATGCTCGCGTGCGTGTGGCGTCGTCCTGAAGAAGCGAGGCTCAGTATGTTATATATATATATATACATACATACATATATATATATATATGTATGTATGTATGTATACGTACGATATTGATCTTGGATCTGTATAACACTCACATTGAAAAGCTGGAAAGTGAAGCCTATGGTTTCTGCATGTCTGGAACTACTACGACTCCCTAGACATGTGCAGTTCTTGATTGCGACGCCGGCCGGCCCAAATTTTAAGATTGTCTTTTGGCGCCCCGTGAGTTGGATGGTTGAGCTCGAAACACCACAAAGGGTCATTTGTTGCAGTGGTGCTGTGCTTTGTTGCGATCTTTCGTGTAGCAGTCGGAGTTTGGCTGACTGCCTTTGGCGCCATGGGTGGTTGTGTTGCAAGTCCTCTCCCCTGCAAGAACACAACTTTGAAGGGGGAAGATGAGACGGTCCAGCCGGCGAAGATGGCAGGTCGTGTTCCAGGCGTTACAGTGTCCATAGAGGCCGTCCAGATGGAGATTGCACAGAAAGGTGGCAGTCCGAGTCCACTCTTGGAGGCAGTCATGGCAGGTCGCAGTGCCGAAGCTGCCTAGAAACATAATATTCATCTTATTAACATCGATAACACAATGACTGATGATAGTAATAACGAGCTTATCAATGTAGCTTGATCGTTCTAATCGCAGGCTGTAACCCTCGTGCCCCTCTGAGAGCATCTCAGGTATGGATATGGAGCGGGCCAGGGCAATTGCCAAGAACATTGCGAAGCCAGACTACACTCTCGGGCAGTATTTCCAGGACTTGACCCCCACAACCATTGGATTCATGCTTGATGCTGTACGGCTTGTAGCCGGCTTACGGCAGGATTAAGATTCAACTGCAACTAAGCTTCGTTCCAGCTGAACAAACGCCCCTGCACCCTGAAAAAGAAGCGTTCGAAAGGACCTGATGGCCACTTTTCCGGAGCTTCATCTGCTTCTCGGCATGAATTCGCACAGCAGCCTACGATTGAACGTCCGAAATCTAGATCCGAAACTAATCCGCCACGCAAGGTTTGGCCTTGAAGGTATGTCTGCCGACACCATGGAGTTCAAGCGTGACTTCCTCTACGGTGGTAGAGTGGCAGGAGATGAGTTCCAGCGCACGATCGGAGCATTCTTTGCAATCTATTGGTTGGTGCGCCAGAGCATTGATGGCAAGAACGGATTTTGCCACGGCGTGGATGACACATGGCGACCATTGGCTTCTCGCGAAGGTGAGAGCGACAAGTGCCGCGTGTTTTATGGCGACAACACGACTCCTGGCTGCTGATGCAACTGACATCCAAGCTTTTCTTGTGTTTTTTGTATGCCATCTATTCCTATCTTAAGAAGCTATCGGCTCCACCATTCTAGAAATTTGGCTTCAAGAGCCGCTCAGGATATGGAAGCACTTCCAGGATCTGATGCTCGATGCAGGCTTGTTATTGAGGGGGCCTATCTGCCTAAAAACATGGCCCCGGACCTTCATTTTGCGTGAACACAAGGTTCCAATCACCGTGAGCCACCGGGTGGAGTTGAGGGGTGTGGCCACGATAAAAACTGAACATGTGGCTTGTGCGGGGCGTTAGTCATGTTGTGCATGCTGCTATGTTATGTGTAGTTAGCAGGGGCTACGTAGGCGGGAGTGATCAGAAGTGAGGATGCATATATGAAGCCTCTAAGCAAAGTTCGTTAGGGCTCTACAGCGGCGTTGTGGGTGCGTGTGCACACAGCCAATCGCAAGCATCATCGGATAGGATGGCAGGAGAAGCCGCAGTGTGCATGGATGGATGAGTACGTGCAGGCATGTGCCATGCTGAACTATTGCACATGGTATGTTGTGTGCTCATTCATGACACAAGTGTGTTTAAGTGCACCTTCCTCCCTCGATCGCTCTCTTTCTATCTCTCCCTATCTCTCTCGAACATGCGCGAGATACATGTAAGTGGGTAGTAGCATGTAAGACCTCCACAACCCTCTCCCCGAGTTCCCGAGCATCCGAGACTTGAAATCCCCCACAGGCATTCTCGTTCAAGGCAGTGGCTCGAAGCTCGAGGTGGACTGTGAGACCACTCTCGCACTTCTGGTCCTCACAGCATTGCATGATGTCATGAAGGCTCGGGGAAAAGAAGTTTGCTTTGGTTACATGATGTAGACTGTAGACTGTTGGGGCTTCAACTGAAGTGTTCCTTCTTTGCAGGTCAGCCTTTTGCTTCCGGTCGTTCAACAGCCCGATGCTCCGTACCGTGGCTATGGCAAGTCGGAGGTTGTCGGAGATCATGACATGGCAATTTTCTATTTGATCGAACGCTACCCGGAGCTTCTGCCGTCCTTGAAGCTCGGTCTGTTGGTTGGGATTTAGATCGATAGCGCCATGATAGAGAAGATTAGAGAAGAGACGGATGCTAATCTTGATGCTCGGCGTAGGGTTTTTGCGAGCGGAAGATGCCCAAGAAGACAGAAGACAACGAGTCTCAAGGTAAGAACACCTGTGAAGAGTGAGTGGGGTGGGGAAAGTTCACTGATGATTATTCCGGCGGCAAGGCCTGGATGTAGGTTTCTGTTTGCCACCTTTCTTTCTGATGCATTCAAACAATCAAGGAGCAGCTTGAAGCCGGACCTTCAGTCATCGGTACGAATGGTGCTGAGTGGGCTGGCCTTCAACAATGGATGGTTCGTGCAAGCAGAGGCCCCACCCGGAGCAGTTCTTCGTGGGATCAAGGCTGCAATCACATCGCAGAACAAATCAGATCGAAAGCTGACCAAGCGCGACTTGAGTCTGTACTTCGTGCATTGGCTGACGGATTTGGCGGGAGCCGAACCGTCTCCGTTGTTGGGATGCCTCAAGCTCACCAGCCAACTCCCGCTTCCGGTGCTCAAGAGCTTCATGGAATCTGTGAAGCACCTTGGACACAGGGGGCTAAGTCGTATGGTTTTCTATTTTTCTATAAAACCACAGGTCCCCAGAGGTAGACGATGGCTTGCCTTTGAGAGAAAGTGCTACAACCTAGGTACATCCAGCAACTGGCGGATCGGACCGAGACGGAGGCGTGTGCTGCCATCAGACTCCCTTTGCATAAGTTCACCAGATCCCCAAAGAAAATGGCCCATGAAGTTTCAAGCCTTCTAGAGAAAATGCATCGTCTGGACTGACCGGCCAGAGGTGATGGAGAGCTACCTCAAGGATCGATGGAGAAATGCCCAACCGCCAGTTGGGCCCTTGCCTAGCGGCCCCGAGGCTCTTGTGAAGACTCGGCTGCTTTGTACCTTTGGCATGCCAAGGAGCAACAACAACAAAACCAACAATAGCAACTGCAGCAGTAGCAGTAGCAACAGCAGCAACAACAACAACAACTACTACTACTACCACCATCATGTGATACTCGCAGTTCGTGAAGTCTGCTAGTCGCGATCCAAGGCATGGCTCAAGGCATGGCAGGCCAAGTGTTGGAAGCCTTCGACAAGCTCAGTGAGGCAGACCGGATGGTTCTCAGTGTGGAAATGGCTCGCACTGGTACGGAGAATCAAAGCTTCTCAGAGGGTTTCGTGCCATCGTCTGTCAGGGACTTGTTGGCTGGGCCGGCCTTCTTGGTGTACTATGGTCCGGCATTCTTGCAGAGGATGAATACGGACAGCCCCGTGAGACGACTGGAGATTTTGGCCGAGATCTACCGCCGTGCTCGGAAGCTTTGGCCTGCGAGCAGCGATCAGGCCGGGAACTTCGTGACCCTCCGCATCGATGCCATCACCATCCAAGGGAAATGGAGCTCGAGCGACCCCGAGCTTCTCTTGCTAAGGATGTGTAGCAACAAGCAGGCAGTCCTTGAGAGGAGGCCCGGGGAGGACCCAAAGACTGCAAACGTTAAAGAGGAGAACACCGAGATCTTGTTTGCCCCTGATGTGTCCGATGCTGTCGACTACGGCATCTGCTCCCAACAGGAGATGATCCAGCAGGTCCGCACATTGACTCGGGTCGACTAGACACAAGCCTTTTTGGAATGGGGTCAGCCATGTAACATTAGTTTGACAGGAACGCTCTGACTCTCCTCGTGACATAGAATTGACAGGAACGCTCTGACTGTCTCTGACTCTCCTCGTGGCATAGAAGAAACTCCAACGTAGGTGAGCCACGAGATGCTGAGCTCGGGACGCTGGTACCGCAAAGTGGCCTTCGCTTTCCTGCGCCCAGCTCAACCAGGAGACTTTGGGTGGGTGGGGGGTGAGGGGAAGGAAGGTTTCATGTCGATTGAGCGTGTCTGCGCCAGAAAAGCATGGTCTTTTTGATGGGGGCAACCTACAGACGACACTTCTCGGTGAGCATGGTCGCCACGACATTGATGGTTGTGTTTACTATGATATTACCAACGCTACTGCCGCTACCAGCTACCACCACTAGCACCATCACCACCAGCCACCCCCCCAAAACCATCGCAGCTGCCACCACATACCACAGACACACACACACACACACACGCACAGACACCCGAGTAGTTTGATGCAGTTTCGTGTGGTGAACTAACGGCACAGAAATTATGATAGTAGTTCTATTCTTGTGATGGTTTGCTATTTTCGTCTTGCCGTTGTAGTATCTGCGGGGGATTCTACGGCAGGCCTGAAGTGTAGAAGGCTCAGCGTGCTCAACCAGGAGAGATCATCATCACGATCGTGGATGGCAAGGAGGAGACGGTGAACACCGCAGTCGAAGGGGATTATGTCGTGCAGGCCTATGGCCAACATTCAGCTGCCAAGAGTACTCCTCGTAAGAAATGTTGCTTCACAGGTGGCCAGTGAGGGATAGAAGCCCTGGGTCCCTGAGTAATAATTCATCGCGCAGGCCAACACCCGATGGAAGGAGAATTACATCCTCTCCTATGCGACAACATCGGCAGCTTACGATCTGGCAACTCCATTGGAATCTGGGCCTGTCCTGGTCATACCATGGTTTTTGGACGTTGAAGGTGCAGGTAGGGACACGGGCTGCCGCAACAGTTCTGTATACCCGCCGTAATCATGCGGCTCCAACGAAGAATTGCGATGGTAACTGAAAATGTTTGCACCATGTTCATCGCAGTTCTTGTCCCTGCTTGTGGAAAGGCTTGGTGCGTAGGCACAAGCATTTGTCGTGACAGTACTTTGCATCGATGTTTCTTTGCACAAGTCCAGCAAGGAAATCCCACATGGTCGTGAAGATGCGCAGCAATTGCGCAGGGACGGCTACCGATGCTACCGATCCCGTACGCGCATCCGTGCCCTCCGCGCCACGGAGGACTTCCTACGACAGCATTGCCCATCCAAGAAGTTCATGGCAAAGTGGGGCACGCCATGCTCCTCCGATGATGGTCATCAGTATTTCCGCGGTGCTTCGTTTCTAGTGCCGCTGCTTTACTCGTTAATGTATTCCTGCCAGGGTTTGAAAAAGAACTCCGCTCTTAAGGCTCCGTGGAAGTCGATGACATCATCGCGGCTCAAGTCAGCCCAAGCTCGGAAGTAACAGAGATCTACAGGATCGAGAAAACGGTTTTCAGGGAGACCTTCATTCCTGAGCAGAGGTGAATTATGCTGGGAGTGAAGAAACAGGCAGGGCAGCTTGAGGCTTTAAGACTGAACGGGTCCCAGTGAAGCGGCTCCCGAACGGCTTTTTCAAGTCCACCTCGGTGGCTCTCACAGTTTGACTGCCGATAGCTCGGAATCTTTCTTCAGGCCCACACGATCAGCTTTCAGCAGTGCCTGCAGGGACAGAACTCCACATGCAAGCTGCCTGACCGCAGAATAGCGATGTTCGTCGTGGCTACATACGTATGTTGTTTGGACAGCCCCTGCTGCACCTTTTCCACCGTGTGGGCCTCTGGGCTTAGTGATCAAACGACCTGGCCGTGGAGTGCACAAAAGTGCCACCCAGGGGATGGTCTCACTTCTTCTGTGTCTTGCTCAGTGCCACACTTGCCACAACACATGTACTTTGTACTTTGCAGTTTCCTGCGAGCTGCGCACATGTGCAGCTTGCAGATCTTTTTGGACGTTTGGACCCTTCGCTTCAGTAGGCCAGCGGAAAAAAGCGACAGGCTTTAGTTAGTACTCTTTGTGCCAGCTGATAGCAGCGATGCGGGTCCGAGACCCTGCTGACGGCGGGTCAGCGAAAGAACCCTCACCTGGCAACACCTGGCTTCTGCGAATTGTGAGCCATTTGCTACCGGAAGCAAGCCCGAACCCTTCTTGGCGGACTCTCACGATGATGTACTACTACTACTACAACTACTACTACAACTACTACTACTACTACTACTACTACTACTACTACTACTACTACTACTACTACTACTACTACTACTACTACTACCTACTACCTACTACCTACTACCTACTACCTACTACCTACTACCTACTACTACCTACTACCTACTACCTACTACCTACTACCTACTACCTACTACTACTACTACTACTACTACTACTACTACTACTACTACTACTACTACTACTACTACTACTACTACTACTACTACTACTACTACTACTACTACTACTACTACTACCACTCCTACTACTGCTACTACTACTACTACTGCTACTACTATCCAGTGCAGGCTACACTTGCCGAGATCCCTCCGCACCTGCTGGGCGGCTCGCTGCTCTATCTTGAAGAGGGCACCTCGGAGTGAACCAGCTGTCGCACTTTCAGTTCACACTCTTGTTACCCCAAACCGACCCCGTCACCGGTCACAAGCCTGCAATGAAAGAGTCCAGCTGCCGAAAGGATAAAGAAGGGAATAGGCCTGGATGCAAAAGGGTGCACATAATATGTCATGGGGCACAAGGTTGCTGCTGATAGGATGCATTCATATGTTCTTCGTGATTATCCAGCTCCATGTGCTTTCGAGGTTACAGAGATTGAATATTCATGGTAAGGGCCCGTTTCCTGGGGAGCGAATCTCCAGGATATACCGACACATTGTAACAGTTTTGGTGCTGTTGCCGGGGCTCTAGCTGTTGCGTTGGCTGGACTATCGAAAGCATAGCTGGTCACATGTATGCCGAGCGACTGCAGCTGTGCTTGTGATGTCACAACAGCGCACAGCAATGTCCGCAGCAATAGGCACAGTACATCAGGTTACTGTGAAAATGACGAGTTCCCGAAAGCATTAGCTGCTGTGGGAGAGCTCAGTATCAAGGAGAACCAAGCCAGTTCCTGAAAAGAAGCTTAGAGCTGCTCCAAGTCGCATGCGGAAATGGGAGCCTGCGCCCCCCATGTCCACTAGGCACTTTAGGGAGAGCTGGCTCCAAGATGACGGAGCCGTGGGCGGCAATTATGTTTCCAATGCTTCCTCTTTTGAGAATAATACCACCGTCCGTTTAAGACATGCTGCACTGGCTGCACGAAGGACTTGTGTTTGAATTCAAGCCACTCCTGTTGTCGGCGTCACCGAGGTCCTTTAACTGTTCCGTACCTTTTTGTTACGTATTGTTTGTTTGTTTGTATGTGTGTGTGTGTGTCGGTCGTGTCGTGTCGTGTTGTGTGCGTTTGGATCTTCCTGGGGTTGCTGTGCAACACTCTGCTTGGGGCCGAGCCCAGAGTTTGGAGGTAAATGGTCAGATGGGATGACTCGAGACCCGTGAAAGGTAAGAGGCGAAGTTGCCCGGATGCTTGCAAAGGGGAAATTTCGGACTGGTTTGAGACCCGTTTCCGGCTTAGCTGGCTTGGCTAGCACGATTGCGCCTGGGAGTGATCGTCGAAGAGCTCCAGACACGAAGCCATTGGTTGTCTGGATCAAGATATGCATTTGTTTGCGGGTTGCGGTGCTGAAATAACTAGTAACTAGTTATTACTGCAGACCTTGTGCACGCAAGACGCGCTCCCACAAACGGCTTACGTACATCTTAAAGAATGAGCTGAGGTCACGGCGCAGGAGGCTCACTCTGCGATTGTTCCAACTGTTGCGATTGATTCGAAAAAACCCTGATGTAAACTGTCCGAATCCTAAGATCTTGCCAGAAGTTGAACAGCGTTGGAGCCACACACAGATAGATGGCACCAGAACCAAAGGCATGCCTTTGATCTGAAAGCCGGCACGCTAAAATCCCGAAGCCCTGAGACACAAATGTGTTGTGGCTACTCAATGTCTTACATCAGTCTTTTGCGCACAATAATCAAGACTACAGATGCTTCGTGTGTCGCATGCTTCTGAGCCCGTCTTATTACAAATCCGGGGTCGACACCGTAAACTTTTGCGCCCTTCCCTAAAGTCCCTAAAGTTCTCTAAAGTCAGCATTCTGTCCGTCTTCTGGCCGAAAGCAACATCTCATCCCAAATTCCGGCACTCCAAGCCCAAAGAGATGTGTGTGGTACAAGCGTGCCGGCCCGTTTCTTAGCTGCAGATCCACCAATGTGTATCCTGAGCTGCTTTAATTGTCTACGATGTTTTATTAGTTCATGATGGTTTCGATTGACAGCTTCTTTGCGTTATCTGTTAGTTGCTGCTAGCTTGCCACGGGGTTATTTCAAACTTGAGGTCTAAGAGGAGACCCCCTCAAGCGCCAAACCTCGAACCCCCAAGGCCTGACATCCAGAATGCCCCTACTGCCCCAGAGCCAGGAGGCGCGGATTTACGTCGTCGTGGAAGTCCCAGCACCCGGGCCGAGCACACCGGGAAGCAGTCACGGTCGCTTCGCTGCAGAAACAACAGGGAGGGAAGGGGAAAGTCCCAACTATTTTTGCAGACCACACCCGTGATATCCCGTGGTCCTTCGCTTCAAATATCTGCAGTATGGCTTGCGGCGTCTGCTCTGTTTCCGAGTTTAGGAGTCGTAGATCGGGATGGGTGCGGGTGCAGTAGCGGGGCTCCTTCGGTTACACCGGGAGTGCTGGTGCCGAAAGAAGATGAGCCGCTGCTGAGGAAGCCACTCCAAAAAAAGGCCGGTGTTACCAGTGATTCCTCTCGAGTTCCTCTCTTCCCCGTAAAAATTCCCAGGGGACGTGCGGTAAAACCCGAACCTACGCACTCCGTGGGGATGATGAAGCTGCAGCGCACCGTAGATGCAGAAGTGGTTTGCAGTGCATCCAGTGCGAACTATTGAAGACTGAACCCAGGTGCGAGCAGTCTTCCTAGGTAGGGTTGTTTTTATACAGTTGAGCTTTGCAAACTGTGCGATATCCCAAGTACGCTTTCAGATGCACTTGCTGCGGCCTTTGCCCACGATTGCCGGTGGCTCTCTGAGGGCGAGGACATGGCTTTGCTTGAACAGTTTAGCTACACATTGGGCTGCATGAGGCATGAAGGGGTTGGATGTGCCCGGTGTTTCCTGGTTGTTGTTCCATGTGGCAGGACACAAGTTTCTTTTGTTTTCTGGTTTTGTGGGCACTGCGAGGCTTAAGCCACCCCAGACAAAGCCCAATGTAACCCCAAGCCATCCCTCCATTCCGCATACCTCCATCGTGCTCAGACTCCCATATCTTTCACTATGACAGCACACGAGCCTTTGCGAAGCAAAGCAATGGTGCACTGGCTACGCTGCATCAAAAACCCAGCTCGCTAACGATTGCATAAAACCCAGGAAACTTCCGTGGACCTATCCAGTTTCCGAGGTGTCTCGACGACCTTTACACTTTTACAAAACAACTTAGCACAAAGCCGGCCCTGCAACTTGATCAAGCCGCCTGATCCTTCGGTTCTTGTCGAGGAGACACCCATCTGGAAACGGCCTGTGCCGGAAGGTGCTTAACGGCCGAACCCGCATTGAATCCATGGAACCCCAGAGCCCGGTGTCGTCGTTGGGGGGTTGGGGATGCTTGGGGCAGGTTCTAGGGTGAGTTTGTTAGTGGGCTTGAGCTGTGTAGTTTTAGACGTTTTTAGGGTCCTGATAGCTAAAGGGCTAAGCTCGAATTGTATCCATCGGCCACGGCCACTGGTATGTAGGAGTTCCATGAATGCTTGCGCTTCGCGTTTAGAAGCTTCCCATAGCAAGGGCTTTGTCACGCAGTATGGAGAATTTACTTCTCCAGTTCCTGGTTTGGCAATGTGTTTCCGAGTGGGTTTCTGGGCGACTGAGATCATGACTATTCCCCCACTATCCTTCAGCATCATCAATAGGCTAGATGGAATCTTGCAGGGATGACGCTTGTTGCTGGTCTGAGGATGTCAGACTTGGGGACGTAGGTAACCTGAACCTTAAGGCATACTACGTTTGCAGTCCCGAGGTGCCAAGCGACCAGCCCGACCAGACCTTTTGATGTTCAGCGCGCTTCTGCAACCGGGTGCGACGATCACTCTGCCAGAAGTGCAGGTGGACGGCGCCTCGGCCGGATGATTCAGGAGAAGCAGTGGCTCAGCATGGTTTCAGAGACATCGGCACTATGTATATGCGGTGTTTCAGACCATAGAGCGTATACATGCAATCCAAACCTTGACGTTGCAATCAATGGCCCATGTTGTTCAACAACTTTACACATGCAGCTGGCAGCTTTTTCTTTCACCCTAAACCTTAAATTGATCAAGGCTACGTGCCACGGGCCTTTGCTGTGGCGGTGAAGGTCGCCACGATCAGCATTGGGATTACCGTCTCTTCCAGCAGCGATCTGAAGTATGAGCGAACAGCGCTCGTGGAAGAAGGCTCCACGTCCGAGTTAGCGGGTTTAGGGTTTAGGGCGGGCTCAAGGGCGCCAGGTCAAAGACCAGCAGCGAAATCACGAAGTCCACGTTCTGAGCTGGCTCTGCTCTCAGGGGCCCCAGCGAAAACCACCTCTGCCACACTTGTCATGACATGGAATTCCCCAACGTCCCAACAAAAAATCCTCAAACTCTGTCTCGGATTTCGAAAGTCCAAGGGGTCACTCCATGGCTTGATCGAGACCACAAATACCTGGACGTGCCGGCCGCTGTGCCTGTCGAAGTAGTTGTGGCGCAGGTTTCTTGAGGGGTCATGATGTTGCTTCACCGTCGAGCTAAATTCTTTTACATTGGACCAAAGCACAAGCAAAGCTTCGCATCACCGGGCAAAGGCGAAGGTAAAGTTGTTCATTAGCTTCCATGCAATCATATATCAACCCGTTTGCTTGCATGAAAGTGCCTCTCTTGCCATGCTGGACTAGTTCGGGGCTTTCGGTCTTCCTATACTCTACTATGAAAACTATGCGATCTTAGCCAGCCGTGAGCCCTGCCAAAGGCTGGCGAGAGGCCCACTAGGTTTGTGTATTTCTACTGGACCGTGGCCCGGAGCACCGAGTCTTTGAAACCGATGATGTTTTGTCTTACAGGATATTGTGTTATCTTGTTTTGCATGTATTGGTATACTGTATTACATTAGATGAGAGTAGAGAAGTAACATAGTGATCGGTGCTGCATAGCAGCTTGCTCGGCTGGCATGGTCACTCGCAACATAGTGCAAGCTGTTTAGACCTGCGGCGAGGCAAGCGAGCGATGCGCGTCGGCCATGAATCGCAGTGCAAGCTCAGGCCTACTTGAAAGGCGGTATCCTCTATCAGGGCCCCTTCAAGGATGTCCCCGGCGACACAATACTGGAAGTGCCCGGGCAACGCAAACTCTGCTCCAAGAAAGACATTGAAACTGCACAAGCTAAACAGCCACATTCGTTTTTTCAAGTTTCTGTGATTGGTCCCATTTTTGTACTTAGGCTCTTATAGCTATATTTCGGGATATGTGGGCAATCCAGGCCCTTTTAGTTCAAGGCTTCGGACCCAGACCACCCTTCCACCGAAGCTGTGTTTGGTCTTTGGGTTGAGTTTGGTGTTCTGAATGGCTGAGCTACTTCTGCCACACTGGTGTGAAGGGGGTAAACAGTCAACCAGTTGTTTCACGCCGACCTCGCACAAAGAACCTCGCCTGGCATGTCCGAGTCGTGAGAGCGTAAACCCTCAGATTCGTGGTAGTGCGAATCTTCACTCGGCTGTAGAGGTGAAGACAAATGCCTCCGCCCGGGTATACGTCATCACTGAGAGACGCTCCGGCCAGAAAGGTCATCCCAGCTGGGTGGAGTCCTGGCTTCAAGAACAGCAGGATGATGTGAGAACACTCCCATCGGCCATGTTCGAACTCAATGCAATATGGCGACAATGATCGTATCGGCAGTCGTAACAATGAGCACGCAACAAGCTGCAGTGGCCTGGAGCCAAAAAAATAAGCAACAGCTCCTAAATTTTCCTAGATGGTTTTAGGATGCTTTATACATGCCCTTCTATTTGGAGTTTTATTCAAATCCCGTTACCCTCTGGAGCTCGCGCAGAAAAACGAGCAGTTGGTTTAAACCATTGTAGGCCCCGAAACAACAATGAAGATGGCGAGTACGACGCTGAAGACGACAACAACGACAAACAACCGCGACAAACAACCTCAACCACGAACAAGCATGCAGCACCACCTCCACTTGCACCACATCCGCAACAGTGGCAGCAATGACAACAACGACGACAGCAGCGACTACAACAGTGAACAACAACAACAACAGCCGCAGCAGCAACAACCACACCAACAGTAACAACAACAACAGCAGCCACAGCCACAACCACAACCACCATGACCACAATCATCCGACAACGACAACAACAGCATCAACAACGAGTGAAAGTAATGAACACCGGAGCTGTAGCACTTGGGAGTATGACTCACCGTAATGTCGAAACACAACGACAGGAGCAATGCAGTTGTCTTGAAGGCGGTCGTGTCTGCGCAGGGGCATCGTTTGTAGATATTAGTAGCCATGATGTTTTGCCAAGCTTTAACGGGAGCCACCGCCACCATCACCACCACTACCACCGCCACCGCAAGCATCATCTTCTTGTTCCCATCATCATCATCATCACCACCACACGGATTCACCTGGAGCATCACGAGCTTACATCAAAGCAGCGAGCAATGGAAAGTAATTTGAGTCGGGATCTACGGTGGGGCTAGATGTCTTGTTTTGCATATTGAGTAGGTCCAGCAGTTATACAGATGCGTGAGGGGTAAGGCGTTCTGAGGCGTACTTGTCGTCAATGTAGATGTCGAATTTCGCGCAAGGCTGGAAAGTCGTGCTGCTGGCTTAATGCTTCTTTGTTTCAGCATTTTCACCCTACCGCTTCAACATCACTTCCTCTGCGTCACCAAGCGGTAATAGCCGTTATATGCCTACAGCTATCGCAGCACTCACAGCAAGAAGTACGGCTGGAGTTTTCCAGTAGAGCCAGAGCTCGGTCGAGCACATGTGACCTGGAAAAGTGTTCGGTCGATGCCGGAGCTTGACCCGGGGACTGCTGCAAAGGCCGAATGCAAGTCCTCACCACCCTCCAGAACCCCAATTGAAGCTGGTAGGGAATGTTCGACATTTTTCGTGCTTCTGAATCAGGAACGAACGAGGACATGACTCGGAAATGCACATGCGCAGTGGCCATGAGACCAAGTAGTATCGCTTCAAGACAGTCAGGGTTGAGTGCTACAGGAACAGCTGGAAGCAGCTGGATGGAATGCAGAGGCCGGTCACAGTAGGGCTAGCAGGGTAATGGCTCAGGCTCTTGTACCAGGAGCGCGTACACTTCGATGGGACCAGGTATATGCCCAATGTTGCAAACAGATGGGCTGTTAAGGCCATGCAAGAACTAGGAATCTCGATCAATCGAATGCCAATTGTCATAATGTCAACACTCGCGACAACTCTCTATACAGGTCTTGGGCCTTCGGGCTTCCACATGTGGTTCTTGTGGGATACGGTATGTTGTCCACCTTCATAATTCTGCCTATGAATAGTAGCGACTTTCTTCACCTGGAATGGGGTTGCTGTCAGGGTCCAGGCCCTCGAATTTTGATGGACCTCATGGAACAACTACTCAATTACCGGTTTTTGCAATTACCGCGCTACCGCATAGCGAGCGGGCAGGCTTATCAAGAAACTTCGGGTATAATCTGTTTTTGCCTTAAGAAAAGTGTCCTGCAAGGAGCCGGCACCCCGCTGGCACGACATGGCCACCATGAGATGCTTGGGAAGGAGCCCTGCATGGCGTGAAGAGTTCAATCTGGCTTCGCGTAGCTTATTTCAGGTGCCCTCGTCCCCACAAGTTGTCCACTGCAAAGAGCTTGAACAAGTCGATGAGCCAGCATTCAAAATCCCCAGTCCGGCAAGTGACGGGCTGGAGTTACCTTGGCCCCGAACAGTGATATATATATATATATATATATATATATATATATATGTGTTTGTATATATATATATAGAGAGAGAGAGAGAGAGAGAGAGAGAGAGAGAGAGAGAGAGCTGCGGGCCTCTTCGCAGCTCGGGAGGGCCCCATATTGAAGCTCAGAAGCAACAGGCCAGACCTTGTCCTTCAATTCTTCAAGGCACCTCTTTCGGGCCGGGAGAAACTAACTAACATCAAAAGGCACAATACCCCCAAAAGAGCTTAAACCCCTGAGCCTAGAGCCAAACCCAAAAACCCCCAGTGCCTAAAGACCCTAAGCCTGCAACCAGGATGTGCCCTGCTGGCTGGACTTTGACACTCCCGCCTTGTCACGCACCCCCAGGCTGTGCCTTCCGAAAGATTCTGCTTCCGAGCCGCGAGCTGTGCCGTTGGCGTCGTGGTTTCGGTGACTACTGCTGGTAGCACAGGTGAGGGGCCGGTCTTCAGCCTCGTCGTGCCTGGTCGCATATGGGGTTCACGGTCTCCGATTTGCGGCTCCTGACATGCTTGCACTTGTTTCGAAACTCGCAACTTTCTAGGCACTGAGGCCCAGGCAGCATCCCAGCTCTGAGGTGGTCCCGTGTGCCGGCCAGCTGTGCGCGCCTCTGGAAGCCAACTGTGTCTACTCCGATGGAGAGGTGTGCCTCCTGAAAGGTTTCAATAAAACTGTTGGGCTCGTTCGCAGCAACTCCAACCACCCCAAGCAAGACAGTTCAGATTTTCGTGGGCCACTGATGGGGAAGCTGGCGGATCCGTCTGGGAACTTCGGCCATACGCAAACCTTTCCCAAGCCGAACTATCTGCTTGCTCGAAGCTACACAGATAACACGGATGGAGACACTTGGGAACGGTATGGAAGTGATCTGACACTTTTTTGCAAGCCTGCGTAAACCACCGAATTTTGCCATGACAACTAAGTACAAAATGGCAAATCCCGTGAACCAAGTCTCGATGCTCAGAGGATGACCCCGGAGAACCCCAGAGCTTTGAATCCACATGGCCGAAGCCCTCATATCTCCGGCACCGCCTGAACCCTAAGACTACGTTTGTGAGCATTCCGCCTTTCCGATCAGAATAAGAGCTTTGATGCTTCCATGTAGCCCTCTGCAGTTCAGCCGACGAGACCTCCGGAGATACCCTCCGGGCCTTGTGGGAGCCTGGAGATATCTGAGACGTGAACAGCATTTGCCCAACTCAACGACACGACCCTCTAAACCCAAACGGCTCAAAAACCTGGACAGAACGCCGCTGCTTCCTCGGCCGTGGTCTTCGGAGCTCCGGAGTCTGCATCGCTGGGCAGAGGCGAGCTGCTGGAGGCCCCAAATCCAGACTTGTCTGGGTTTATGGTTTAGGGCTTTTCAATTTGCAGCGGGGCTAAGGGTTTTGGTGTGTAGCTTCCAGGTTGCGTGGGTCTGAAAGGACTGTGCTGGGACAATTGTGCAATTTGGGCATTTCGTTGAAAGCGTGTTGGATGTTGGGGTGTGTTTAGAATGTAGGCAGGGCTTTATCAGGGCATGGGGCCAAGAGCTTGCACTGCTTCCTGTACTGAGCTCTGCTCGAGCATCGCAACATCCTGCCGAGCTTGAAAGCAGCACAGTTCAGCATTCCCATCAGACCACTCCTGCAGATCGAGAATGGCAGGTTCCGCTTTGGATGCGCTCGCCAGAAGCGACATTGGTCGGGGCCGAGACCGATGTGCAACTTGTCTCCAGCCTGCTGTGGGCTGTGCGAAATAAAACTCTTGAACCAGGGCTCCCAGGTGGGTGCAAGGAGCACGAGAATCTTAAGGATCGGAGCTTAGAGCGAAGAGTAATTCAGGAAAAGGCTGAAAAGGTTTTCGTCTTAGTGTGTCCACGCTCGGGTCACGGTTTGTGGGCATGTGCACCTATGCCGGTCGAATCTTACCACATGCAGGGCCTGTAAAGCAGAAGCCCAGTCCGGAACAACCGGAACAAGTCCGGAACAACCCGAACAACCCCTCCTGCTCTGAGATAAGGGTTTAGGATATACCGCAATTACGCACGACCCTAAAATCGAAGCAATGCTCCGGCCCTCGACCTCGGCCGGGGGGGTTCATGTTATTTTGTTTGGTTTGTCTCGGTTGCTTTTTGTTGTCCGTTCCCCCGCAGGCCCAGAGAGATCTCCCAGCACGGGTCTTTGTAAACAGAGCCCACAGAACTGTAGGCCCAGGTCTGTGCACCCAAAGCACCGGCCCTTGCTCCTCCTTTGAAGCCCAGGAGCGAAGAAGGCGAAGCTCACCGATTCACGCTCCGTGCAGCCGCTCCATCGGCCACGAGTCGCCCAATGGGGGTATTTCTTAGGGTGCCGGTTGCAGAAGCCTCGTTGTTGTGCTAGGTTTATCTGCGAGAAGTGAGGACGAGAATGGACCAAGTCTAGAGTTGGAGACACAGTAAGAATATCAAAGGAGCGAGAATGGTTGTGGCCATGGTTGGGCCTCTAGAAGTGCGGTGGAGGCTTCGCGAGATGATGTCAAAGAGAGAGAGAGAGAGAGAGAGTGAGTTAGCGAGTTAGCACGCGGTGGAGGGGGTTCAAGCCCCTTCACCCTAGCCCTGGCGAAAGGAAGAGTTAGTTTCCGTCCGGTTATATCGTACGTCAATACTGCAAGTAAGCCTGGTTCCTTCAAGCAGCAACGTTCCACTTAACCTCGCGGAGTGTCCCGAAACTTCTTTGCACGTAACACCCTTCAACCGTCGGGCTGCTCCCGCGCGGGCGGGCCATCAAGCCTGGTGAAAAAAGTTTCCGCCGTTTCACGCCCACCCTCCCCCGCCCCAAAGATCCGCCAACGGAGGTGAGCCTTCGGCTCCGGGGGCATCCCATGCACGCAGCTGCATGAACCCCCACAGCAGGAACTTCGACCCTTCACCGAACCCGAACTCCAGAACCCGCTGGTGATGCCGATGCACAGGAACATTTGCGAGAAACTCCTGTGAATATTGAACAAGACTTCATAACAACTACCTGCTGTGACATCAGCATCATGCCATACGGCGCGGGCCCATACCAAAACAAATTGTTGCGGCTTCCGGCAGTTCATTGAAGTTGCTTGCTTCAGCGACATCCAATTATAGTGCGTGCAGCCGTCACATCCGTCACGTTGACATGCTAAAGACACAGATGCAACGATTTGAGCTACCAGGTCATTTATGCATTGCTCCCGAAGTCTGCAAGCATCAGGCTGGGCATCGAGCGGTTCACCTACACGGCAGTTACCTGTGCATTTGCGCATACACTCATGCAAAGGTATAACATGCGTAGATAGTTTACATACACGGACACCTGTGTGCACACATGTATGTGTGTATCTTTAGGTATGTATATATACACAGTACACACACATACATGCAGGAGCTGAAGACATTGCAGTGTCTCCTTTGCGAGTCTTGTTTAGGGATCGTCTTCTCTCCTGGGAGTGGCTCCAAATTTCTCAGGGCCCAGCAACATCTTGAGGGCACCTATATAGAACTAAATAACTTGGCTGGTGCAGGGCAATGATGGGCAATGAATGCTTCAAGAGTTGCATGACGACGGTTCAATACAGAAGCCGTATTTCTCAGCAACCATTCCTGAGAGTTCCTTATGGAAATTCAGTCTTGAACGAAACCCCCAAGCCCCATTTTGATTACTCTGGCTCCACAACTAACAACGTGTCAGGTTAAGGCTAACGGCGGCTAACGGGTGCTCGGGCTCGATAAAGAAAGCTTCGCTACCGCATCCAGTGCGCTGGCAGCAAGGAACTTCAAATCAGCAAGAGGCTCCGAAAAGAGAGTGTTACCGTGTTCACAGACGCGCTCTGTTTCCTGACAATATTGACAAACCAGGGGCGGCAGATGCGGAAGCCGACACCTGACTCAAACACGTAGGTCCGTGAAGCTCTAAGTGGAAAGTGCAGAACGACCTCAGCGAAGACCCTGAAGCCCGAAGCCCCAGCCCACAAGCCTCAGTCTGACACTTCTGTCAGCATGCCCACAGTTCTGCATGGGCCGATGACGGCTGGGAGCCGCGAGATGAAGCCCCCTCCTACCACATACAGGCCAGTGGGCTGCAATCTGCCCACACGACCAGCACTGTTGTGACTGTTACCATGAACTTTCTGTTTATACTGGCTGCCATTCGTTTGACTGAGAATCACCGTCTCTCGCATACGGAGCAGATTTCTCTTGCTGTCCAAGTGCACCAGTGCAGCTATCGAGAGGACTAACCGGTGGGGTGGGCGCATGACCTTCCGCAGGCTTGTGTAATGATGGACATGCTGTAAATGTGGGGCGGAGCTGCCTCGTCTTGGGGCACCCCATTCCCAGCTGGTTACCAGCTTTCTTCACCAGTAACTCTGACAGCCCTGAGAATGCCATCAGCCTCTTCTTCTCGGCATTTCGACAGGAATCTTCTCTTCTTTACAGCAAGAGACCCCCTCCGAAGAATTCGTCTCCGTGTCATGCACGACACTCAATCGTGTGGGTTTCTTTCAGGGGTCCGGCCCCACGTTGATAGCCACACTCTCTTCGAAGGGCGAGGAGGAGCCGCCGAAGCCCATGCTGGTCCTTGCCAAGAGGAGTCAGGCCTCGCCAATTTCTAGCCGAAAGATTCTGCAGTGACGTGGCAGAACGATCGTTCCTGTCACAGCCTCTTCGCGAAGACAGCGTGGACCGGCTGCAAGATTATTAGGCAAAGCCTAGAGTCTAGAGAGTCTAGAGCCGCTGTTGTGTGCAGTGGGAGCTTGGGCCTGAGTTTCATGTCGACGTCCGCTCCGAGGGTTGCACATGTGTCTCCTCATCCGCCCTACGGTTTTCCCCGAAGCGCAACACTCGCAAGTCCGAAGGCTCGGCAGTTGGTCTGCGCACCTCCCACAGGCGACAGATCGGCGGGTGGAGAGGTCGGCTTCCCGCATCGATAGTTTCAGCCATTTCCCGAACTTCCTCTGAGCTCAAAAAACCAAATCCACGGAAACGCTTGTAAACAACCCAATCAGACCCACCAAACCGGGTCCGAATGCATGTTTCCAGGCAAACCCTCCGTTTTTCAAAACTATGAGTTTTATGCACACCTCTTTCATCCAGGCGAAGCGGTGGTTTTCTGATAGCTCCAGTTGGCCCGAAGGTGCTTGCACTAGTCGTCAAGGTGGATGTCGAAGCTTTCGATGCCTCTTGGATGAGTTGTGCTCTTGGGTTCGAGTAGATTGCTGAGCTGTCTTCAGTGTGTCTTGAGTCTGTCAAAGGCATCCCTGCAAGCCTCTCGACATCTACTGTTAAAGCAGAAACCCAGAAAATTTCGGGCAGGATGCAGGACTAGATTGACTAGATGTCGAGAAGGTGAGGCCCTGGATGCCTGAGAACTGGAGTCGCCCTGACACTGCCTCTTTCATTGCCCTCAACAGCACATCTGACCATGCAGTCCTGACACTCCACATAGGTATAGCAGGGAAGAACCTCAAATCCAACATTGGCACTACATCGGCGTGGTGGCAAGACATAAGCAGGAGTCCTGATTGACATTCCTAAGTCCAATGCCCACGAGTCATATCGGTCAGAATATGAACTAAAGGCACATGCAGAATGCAGCAATGGCCTTGAGCTTGTTGGCACCCCTGCATCTTGGCAAATGGGAGAGCTAGCCCCGTGGGTGCAAGGTTGGGAATTGGCTTGATGCTTCCAGAATGACAACGAGTATCTTCGTGTCTTTGTGTTAGGCACGGATACGCAAGAACTGAGCCTGGAACATTCCCGATTCCCCTCCTCGAACAACAAATGCCACACACCATGGCAGAAATAAGATCCGAAGCTGCCGACAAAAAGGGCTACTTCGCCCTAACATGCTTGCAAATGTTTTCTTTCATTCCGTGCATGGCTTGCGTTGTCAGCGCCCAAACAAGCAGCCGCACGACTGAGCTTGAGACTGCTTTGGATCTCCTCCGGCTCCGTAGCTCTTACAGAAGTAATATGCCGTGCCGAGCCTTCGGACTGGTTGGCTTCTTACCTGCGCATAGAGCCCTAAATCCGAATAACAAATAATCATAACAGAACACATCTTAGTATGATTAGGAATATTTGTGTAATTATTCTTGGTATTGTCTTGATGATCATGATGATGACGTTGACCACTATCGTGGTGGTGGTGGTGGTGGTGGTGGTGGTGGTGGTGGTGGTGGTGGTGGTGGTGGTGGTGGTGGTGGTGGTGGTGGTGGTGGTGGCGGCTGCGGTTGCAGTGATGCTGATGCTGCTGCTGATGGTGATGGTGATGACTATGTTGATGAAGGAAGAGGAGAACGTTGATGATTCTTTTTGATGATGATGATGATGATGATGATGATGATGATGGTGGTGGTGATGGTGCTGTTTGTCCTGGCGGTAATGATGATAACCACGACGACGGCGAGGTTGTTGTTGTTCCGACTGCTATCTTCGTCAGGGTGATGTACTGATGGCGTTGCCTTCGGTGTTCTTCATGTTGTGCTTGAGATTTCATGCTGATTGTGACAACTACGATGACGACAAATGGCCAGACTGGGACAACTCCTTCCCCTGACTTGGGAAATCCTCCTGTGCTGCTACAAGTACTAGACCTTGCTCCACCAACGAGTCACCACGACCGCGATGATGCCACCGACATGTACCATTCCTTCTTGTGCCATTGCTACTGTGTTACATACTGGCATTCTGACGACTGCAAAAAAAGCTTGCAGCGTTCTCTCTATTTCGCACACGGCTTTAGTTGACCGTGGCCGAGCTTCGTCCTGGCAATCATTGATCAGGACTGGGAAGCATGATGTGGCCCTACCGCACTTCTCTCCCATCCGTGACTGACCCGTTTCCCACTGCTAGCTGGAATCCCTCCATTGCCACGGTCTCCAGTGGAGAGAGTGCGCAGAGTGTCCAGGCAAGTAGGTCTCTTTCTTGGTGCGATCCAAGCAGTCTGGGAGGCTTTCCAGAGCAGTTCCTGGGCTTCGGACAGATGACCCCAAGTCCCAAGTCCTGAGCCCTACATCCTGACCCCTGTGGCAAGGAGGAAAAGGGCCTGCGGAAAAAAACTAGACATCCCTAAACCTGGCCCGGCACTTGTTGCCTGGAGCCTTTCTGCCTTGATCGAGTGCGAGCGTCGGCAAGATTTAACACAAAAGCTGGAGAGTCCTGAGGTAAAGGAGGCTGGCCTACTCTGGACGGATAGGCAGAAGCCTGGCTGCGAATTCGGCCACACACACTCCGTTCTTGCATCTGCGTCTGGGTTTAGAAATTGAGTGGTCATCCGTATGGTCACACGATACATGAGTTTTACTTGTCGTGATTCCTAAAGCTCCAAACTCTAAATACACAAATCCTAAATTTGAAACTGTAAAAACCTCCGCCCCAGACCCCCAAGCCAGGAACCGCATGGCCTTCATCCCAAGCTGCATGCGGTCGGGCCTTGTCCTCCGTGGTCCCCACGAGCTGAGGACCAGGTCCGGGAGGGAGGGTTTAGTGCCTCGGGTTTAGGGTTTCTCTGATCGGCGGAGGCGGGGTTGTGCATAGTATAGCGCACGGAGGTACTCAGGAAATGAGGGTTAATGGGAGTTCGTTGAGGCATTCCAAGCATGTCCCGCTCGAGGTGTTGGGCTTATCACTGTTCCGGTCCAATTTGATTCTTGGGTCCCTTAAACCAAAACCCCTAGACCGCCGAAACCCGTATCTTCCTCGCTTGCAATGTCCGAGCTGCGAGAGTCCAAGCATCACACTTGCCGAGGTAGATGTTGGTTGCACTGAAACTGCTGACATGCTGACATGCAGAAGATACCTCAAGAATCCAATGATAAGTCAATATAGTTTGCGTACTCGGCAGCAAATGAAGGGTGGGCGAAGTTCTGCGGTGCTTCGCTTGTTAAGGTCGACAGCCTGAGGATGATGGGCTCTTAGCCAATCGGTGTTGGAATTTGGAGGTTTGCGCATCCTTTTTGCGTGTTGGTGATCCTTCCATTTCGAGTTTGAAGGCTCCTTGCCACGAGGGCCCTGACCAGATCTTCAGTCCGGCTGCGAAGACCCAATTGACCCTTTGTTGTCCCGGCGCCAAGCAACCCCCAGCACGGACCCTCCCATGCAGATCCAAGTCGAGTCTAGCTGTCTAGCTCTGCAAGAAACCCAAAGCTGGACCCCAAACTTCAAGACTATGTATCTTAGCCGCTTAGCCTTGTTGGAGTCGCTGGTTTGGGTTACCTCTTGTGGCATTGCAGGGCTGAGAACCCGACCAGTGATTTTGCTTGGCGACGATGTTTTCAAGTAACGCTGGTGCCCCAAATTTATGGCCACTAGTGTGTGTTTTTGTTTTTTTTTTTTGTGTGTGTGTGTGTGTTAAGTTGTTGGTTTGACTTAGAACTAGGCCCTTTCTAATTGGTTTGTGCATCTTATCTTGTCTTCTTTTGTTACCTGACATTCCAGCTCCGATCCGACCCGCGCGAGCATAAACCCCCGAGCTCCATACCCGTTAACTCCCGCAAGTCTCAGAACCGAAATGCCCTCAAGACCGAAACAAAATATGGAGCTATTCCTAACATGAACAAACCCTATTCTTCATATATTGTAAAGCCCAGCCTTTGTGAGCTTTATAAAGCCCTTATATAAGCACCCTAGAGACGTCCTCTAAAGAACACTACATATGATGCCAAAGTTAAACTCTTCTTCCAGAAGAGGCCTGGGCTCCTTCTTCGACTACGAGCCTCCCGAGCTTGCCGCATCTACGTGGGCGTCGAGGCGGCTTTTTCAGGACTTTCTTTTTGAAGGTTCTACGGCACCGGAAGGGTTTCGAGTTTGGGGTTTAGGGGGAGGTTGTAAGGATTACACGATGGCTTTTGCAGGCTTTAGGGCTCAAGTTGAGGGAGGCATATTCTTGGATTACAAGCAGGAATTGTCCAAATTCTGGGGCTCATCGAATCTTTGTGGTTAGGGTGTAGGGTTGGAGCTTTAAGGCATGAGGGGCCTGTTAGTCTATAAGGGTTTCAGCACTTATGCGTTATAACATTTTTCGAGGACACGGCTTGGGGCTTCTTCTGGCGATTTGTTGAGTTGCATTTCTGGTTTTCCTTTTCATGTTTCAGTCAAGGTTTTGGGTTTTCAGCCTGATGAAGTTTTTCCGGGGGTTGAGATGGACCTTGGCAAAATAGATGGTGGGCTAAAGGCCGCTTTCCCGGACGACCCCTGCTCCCAACCCAACAGAAACAAGGGCATATCGCCTTGATTAGCGGCAGAAGGGAAGCATCTGGCTCCAATCCTTCAGCACTTTCAGTGACCTCTACAACTGCATTGCAATCAACCGCAATGAACCAATCGGCTCCGGCAAGAATGGGTACCTTTAACAACTGGCTGAAAGGGGTATTGCCGTAGGCAGTAGCACCCAGGCTGGTTATTCACATCCAAGTCTCAAGTATTTCTTTGTACACGGTGTCTTTTGTGGACGAAGGCATCCTATGGCTCGGAACGACCACGCAATGGTGGAGGCGCAGTCATTGCAAGATCTCAAATCTAAAAGGGTGTAGGGTGTGAAGGAGGGCTTCGCCGCTCATGAACCTACGCTGGGTCTAAGGATGGACACCATCTTAGAGCCTGTGACTTCACAATCTAAATTAAGAGCCTGTGTGCATCGAGTGTGTAACAGCGATTTCGATTTCCTCTTTTGCTTTGACAAGTCCTTGAAGCACGATCTCTTGCGTTCCGCAGTCTCTCGAAGCATTGCGTGGAACCCTGGCTCCGGTAACAGAGTCATCAACTTCAAAATTCAAAACTAGCAGAAACTGTCGGCGTGCCACAAGCACCGCAGTCTGCAGCCCTGCGGGGGTCATACTCCAAAGAGTCTGTAACCTTTGAGGCTGCTCGCGGAACATTCCTAGCTTTGCAAAAGCTTGAGCCGTCAGGCTTGGCCGAGCTGCTTCTGAGTCTGGGCTGGACTGCCGAGAGTGTGAAGGAGGTTTCCGCGCCCGCCCCTTGACGCGACCATGGGTTCCTCCTTTGGAGGTGCAGTAAGAACAACACCGGCACCCGCCGCATGAACATACTGGAGAAACGACTTCGGGCATTCGGTACCCAGATTTATAGTTTTTTCAGAAATTGTACACCTGCCCTGCTTCTGCATCTCGGCACGGCATTGCATCGTAAAGGCTCGTAGAGAGGCAGTCAAAAGACCGACAATAGAGCCTATAGCCATCTTTACGGCCACAATCCCTCAAAGTTCGATTTACAAGCTTTGGCTTCACAAAACTCAGCCGAATATTCACAAGAGGCCTGGGGCGACAAGATCTCCAACATGCAAATGCTGAGTCGGCGGCTCACCGAAGGCCAAGTAGTCAGGGTGCTCGTGATGATTCTGAAACTAAGTTTGATGACTGTCATGATGAGAAGTATCATGCTGTGTTATCTCAAAAACGCAGCCCACCGGCCAGTGATGACAGTGTTGAAGTCGACCGCGCCTTCTCTAACACTGAGCTGCAGATGTGTTTCTGAAACTCGTGCAGAGGATGACAGCACTGACTCTGCCGTCAATCTTCGTGTAAATGACGAGAAGTTTGCACGAACCATGGACAAGTAGTGCCACTGCTAGGACTGTGAAGATCAAGCTTCTGTTCGCTGTAAGCATCAATGCCATGGCAGCCGTGGGTATCGGAGAGAGCGAGTGTAACAGACACAGTGACAGAAATCAAGAGAGCGAGAGAGAGAGAGAGAGAGAGAGAGAGAGAGAGAGAGAGAGAGAGACAGAGAGGGAAAACAAAAACACAGACAGAAAGCGGGAGAGAGAGGAGGAAGAAAGCAAACGCAGACGCAAACGGAAGCCAAGAGTCCTTTCTGAGCGGGAGCCATCGAGCTGAAGTCCTCATAGTTCCGCCGATGTTCGGATGGGGCAGCACTGCGCGGGCATGGGACCCACAAAGCCAGCGCGCAGCAGCCCTGAAACCCCGAAGATCCGAAAGTTCTGGCCGGTACGTAAACGGTTAAACCCTGATTTTGTCACAGATCCTCAAGCTTAAACAAACCCTTCGGACCCTGACACCGGGAGGCCAGGAGCTCGAGATGCCCCTCCGCGGAAGGACCTCTGCCGAGGAGGCCTTGTATCACGAGACCCTTATCCCCAATCCCTGAAAGCCAGCACATAAGCTCTCAAACTAAGGGAGGGGGACCCTCTTAGTAAACTAAAGCCTCGGAGCCCAAATCCCTGAAGAGGTGTTTGAGGGTTGGGGATCTGAAGGGCTCCAGGTCTCGGTGTCCTGAAGATTCCTCGGTCAGGTCACCCAGGCTCTCAGTCCAAAGTCCAAGTGTGGAGATAAGGTTTAGGGCGTAGCAATGGGTAGCATCACGACAGCGTTCGGGCTTCGAGCCCACTGTCAGAAATACCGAAAACCCTAATTTAATTTCTCTGTGTCCAAACACCCACCGTTTGCGGTGTAGGATTGAATGATTTCACAAGACAGTATGGTGGGCATGCGCAGGCCTTGAGGGCTGCTGGTATTCACCGCTGAACAAAGCAAACCCTCGAATCCTAGAAGCCTTATATCCAAGCCTTCACTCTCTCACCCCACCTGTGCTGCGCAATCGTACCGAGAGACCTCGTCTGGTTTGTCCGGGTTACGAGAACGTAAAAGCCCCGTAAGGCCCCAAGTCCTTTGCAGGCTCCGCTGCTCATGCTGCTGGTGGTAGCACCCCGGCTCCTCCAGCGTATAGGGGGCTTGGGCCTTTCAGTAGTGTTTAGCAAGGATGGGATGTCACACGATCAACGGAGTCTAGGGCAGTTTAGGGTTCGGACCGCCCACGGGTTGCAGAGGCTGTGGTAGTTGTTCGGATTGACACCAGCGTTGTCAATGCACTGCGGAGGTGAGCATTGAAGGTGTGGAGAGCCTGGGCAAGGTGCCCTGCCTTCAGATGCTGCAAGCCGTGCTCAGTCCAACTTCTGCATCCCAAACCTGTCTGTGGCCTTTCAGCTACGAGCACAAACCCTGTACACAGATCCTAAAGGGCTTATGCCCGAAAACCCCCTGCTAAATCGTGAACTCGGTGCCACGCAGGAACTCAAGCGCTCCTTCGCAGCGTGGGCGTCAGAGGATTCCGGACTTTCGGCTGAGGCGGCTTACATTGATGTCAGTGTATTCTATTCTAAGTTGGTGGATTGGAGTTCGGTTTTTGGGGTTGTGGTTTGGGTTTGAATGCAAACTCGGAGTAAAATCCCAACTTCACGTGGGATCATGCATCGGGATCAGAGAGGGTCGGAAGGACCTCTGTGAACGAGGCTTCGATGCAACGCCAAGGGCAGCAAAAAGCTTCATGGAAGGGCATGGATGCAGATTGGTTTCTGGATTTCTTGGTAGCTGCATAGCCCTGGTCTGGCAAATTCTGCTTGCACCTCGTCGGGCCCGCACTACGAAAACTCAACAAGGGTTGTTGGACGACCTGGAGATCTGACACATCATTGGCGAAACCGAAAGCAAGCGACCACAACACCCAAGGACTCGAAGCATGTTTCATCAAGCTCCGTCCACATGTCCAGCAGGCGCTATCCACGCTGCTGCGAGTTCTTTGTCCACACGGATCGGAGGCAGAGCAACAAACGGTGGGCGCCTGAGATCTTGAACCCATGATTCAGTGCACATTCTTGACCCCGACGCAGAGTCTTGGCCTGGGCTTCTTGGAGTGGGGTTGTCTGCCGTTCCGGGGTGATTTGTTTTATATGAATATGTGTGAGATGTATGTGTGTATACATGTATTGTCTTTGTTTGTGTACAGCTTCTGGATCACATGGGCAATATTTATATAATTCAAGGCGATGGCCTTGCTGCCGAGGGCCACTTGTAATGTCATGCACGGTGCTGTTGATACTGCTGACGGCTTCTTACAGTGTCACCAGATGTGCAGTTTCAAAAAAAGCAAGAAAACATCAGTAAACCGTAAACCCTGTAGCAAGGATTACTTGCATTGCATCCTTAGATTGAGTGTCCCCAAGAAGGCCTGTGGCTCATATTTGCTTATTATGACCCAAAAAGCATAAAAAGAAATAGATGAAATAGTTGAAATTCTTTTTATTAATATAGCAAAATTCATGAAATTCTTTTTTATTTAAAATAATATATTTGATATTTCTAATAAATTCTTTTTTAAAATATATGAAATTCTGCATCCAGCTCCTTCCGAGATTTCCGGGTGAATTGAGGTTGTACATGATTGCATTCGTCGCTTTGAGGCTCGTAGTTACTTCAGGATCTAGACTTGAGATATAGAATACGAGGTTGTTTTGCATGAATACTATGAGTCATGAATCTTGCACTTGCAGTATGAAGTTAACCTTGGATTGATTTATTGGTTTATAGATAAAGAGTTGGAGTCTTTTTTAAGATTTAGCCATGGGAGATTCTATGGATGCTACATCGTTGGACATGGACCAAATCCTTGGCATAATTGAAGATGTGCATGCAGAGGGGCAGACAAAACAACGAGACCAGGTTGGAACGACTGAGAAACGGCAAAAACGCAGCCTCGACAACATCGGTCTCGGACCTGGATCTGCCAAGAAACCTCGAGCCAAAAGCAAGCTGTCGAAGAACCAGGTTTTCCATGATCAGCAATCGCGAGCTTATAATGCCAGTGGACGGGCCAGGAATCAAGATTTCCATATGCCCTTGCATGAGTTCGGTCTAGATCGTCAGCCCGTTGGAGGCAGAGGCCAGTGGAGAGTATGGTCGTCTCCTGCTGTTCTTCGAGCGGCTTTCAGTTCTGAAAAATCCACTTGTCGCCAGATTAAGGATTCCATTGAAGGAGCTGGCCGCAGAAACAGTTCTGGTAGTCGTTATGTTGTGGCAGAAGCTATCCTGCATGGCCAAGCCGTAGGTATCCAGAAGCTGCAGAAGCCGGTCTCAGAAGATGCAGAGCCGACGAAATTGGCATATGCCATTCGTAATATCATGTTTGACGAGTCTACTTTCGACTTGTTGATGAATGGTGTATCGGCTTCGTATTCCGTACTTTGTTCTCATGGTCAATTGACGTACCGTCTTGAGGACGAGGATTTGGTCCACGATGAACATATATTCAGGTCCCCTGCAGTTCTCAGCCCAGTGATGAATTCGGCCACGATGCATGCAGCTTTGAGTGCCGGCCCTGGGGGATTTGCACAGGTCTTCGAAGGCAAGTATTTGGCAACTTTGACCATATCGGATGCTCATGCTGCCAATATTCGCTTACTGAGATTCGTTGACCAACAGCTGTGTGATGATCAGAATCATTTCTTCTTGCCATCCCTATGCCTGCAACACAGAGTGGGTAATATAGTGGAGCAATTGACGAAATTTCTGGGAAACTTGGGTGGTAATTTTTCCATTGCGAAGGTATTGAATAAGGGCAATCTGTTGAAGGATCTTCGGGCAAAAGCTGATGGTCACATTGCCCGTACATTGCGAGTCTTGAAGGAAACCCCTGCAGCATTGACAGAGGAGTGGTCTCAAGCCCAACAAGAAGCCCGGGATTTGATCCAGTTGTGTATGAGCTATAACGATACCACGGATCCTATCCGCTCAGGGACTCAGCGGGAAGCCTTCCAGCGGCTTGCCGACTTCTTCAACGGACCTTGGACAGGACCGAGCTTTGCAGGGACGGTACTTAGTGAGTGCAAGTCGCCGCAGGTCACACTCGTAATGCCCTGTCATGATGCCATGTCATGTCAGTCATATGTTGAACCGTGTAGCGTGCTGAAGTGCTGAGGCAGGCAGGCAGGCAGGCAAGCAGATCATTGATCATTGTCATGTAATGTATGCTGAATGAATGCAGATTTGGCTTGTACAGACAGAGACCCCGCCACCTGATTGGTGGCACATCAGTGGTAGCAGTAGTGTCGTGTGTTTGACTCGTTTCTGGCCATGTCTGACTTTGCCCCGCTCGATGCTCGCTTCAGCGCTTTGTCGGAGTATAGCTTTCCGGAGGCCCCTTCAGGAGCTACTGCACTTCGAGAGCGATCACGAAGGGCAGCAGCGGTCTCTGACCTGGCCAGACTACTTGTCACGGACTCATACGGCAAGGGGCAGTCCCTGCGCAGGATGTGCTGGCAGGCTTACAACTCAAGGCGGGCTCGATTCGGGATGGTTTTGGCGGTTTTGATAATATTATTATAATGTAATGATGGGTAAGTAGTAAGGAGTCACGAGTCGACTAGAGTAGTCGATCATTCTGATTCATTCAATTCATTCTACTCGAAACAGAATACCTATTTCAAGTTTGTCTCAAGGCACCCTATGCACTGCGTGCTGGAATTGCCCAATGGTGCCCAGTGCTGGTTGGGAGGAATCGGAGCGAGTGGGGATGTGCAGGTGCTTATTGCCAACGGAATCGGAGCGATCTTGGCAGCAGCGTCCCACCCTCCGGTGATAAGGGATTCCAGAATTGACTTTCTGGGAAATCTGGACGGCACAGGCGTGGTTCATGGAGACATCGACCAGGGCCTGGTTATCAACATGTTCCAGCGGATCATCAAACTTTTGTCGTCTGGGATGAAGGTGCTTATATCCTGCAAGAACGGGGCTCATAGGAGCAGCTTCCTAATGGCCCTGCTCATCATCTTCTTGACGGGCGAGCCCTCGGAAGTGGTGTACTCGCACTTAAACAGTCTACGGGCCATCGTTGACCTGAGCACCACGGCCCCAGAGTCGCGACACACGCATGGTCGCAAGAATGTCAGACCAATCGATGCCCTGGGCAAGATGCAGCAAATCTTCGCCGAAGAGGGCTATCGGTCTCTGACCAGGCTCACCAGGCCAGCGCAGCACGCCCTGGGCTTCGACCAAGACGCTGGTCACCGCCCACGACTTAACCAATTGATGACTCCGTCCGAGTTTCAAGGGCTGGCCATGAGCTTGGGGTGGTCCCCCTCCGAGGCCGGATTGTATCGTATCAGTTATCAAGACTAAATCAATCATTATAATTATATATGTCTTCAATCTTGAGGTTAGTTATTTGGATAACAAGATTTCACTATCCTCAGGTGGCTCGCAGTCGCGAGAGTACGGAATGGACCGATGCCGGTGCCTACGTCTCTGACGCTGAGAGAGACTTGCGTGCTAGAAGCTATGGATCTGCTCCCAAGAACAAGCCAGTACCGTCGACGCAGGTCGGACCGGTTTGAATCAATTGTAGTAATTAGTAATTGTTAATTTTAATGATATAAGTAGTATAAGTATAAGCTATAGTAGCGACTTTACTTCACTTGAAAGCCGCTTATACCCGAAGCCTTCAAACTTAATTGATCTTGAATCTTGAGGCTCGTGGCCGTGGCGGTGCTCTTCCGAGCCTTCCCTTCAAGCGAGATGCCGAGGCAATGTCCGCAGAGTCCGGAGCTTCAGAAAGCGAGGCGGCCGTGGGGGAAGGATTTGGTCGGTTTGAAGTAAATATTACTGAATGCTCAGGCTGGTTGCTAGGGCTTAGTCTTAGAGTGATTCTGAATTCTGAATTCTTCTTCCCATTGAGGCCTGGATTCAAGTGTCGCTATCGGAGTCGGATGCTGGAGCAGAGACGAGCGAGGCCGAACCCAGGACTCCGAAAGAGCGGTCTCCGACCGGGCCATCGACTCGGCTCCTTCCAACACCGAAGACCAAAGCGGGCAAGATTGTGGAGCCTGCTCCGACCGAGCCGGCCTATCTCCCTCCGACACCCAAGACCAAAGCGAGCAAGCCTCAGGAGACCCAGGAGCAGCAGGAGCAGGAGACTCAGGAGGAGACTCAGCCTGATCCCTCACAGCGGTCTCCGACCGGGCCGTCGACACCTCGTGCAGGATTCGATGCACAGGACTTCGCCACGCTCAACAAACTGATGAACAACCTCAAGGAGCTGGATGAGAAGTTGAAAGGTATCTTCAGACTAATTAGCAATTCCTTTGTCACTATTGGGCAGGGTCGTTGATTGATGCCATCAAGTATCAATTCCAGTCCAGTATATAGCCTATAGGATTTATAGGTTTAATTCGGTTTAATCAAAATCAAAGTCTTAATATATTCTATCTATTCCGATCATTCTATCAAGGCGATGATACAGCGGCGGCCGAGCAGGAGGAGGAGGAGGACACTCCAGATTGGGGTGATGCTGACGATCCCTCCGGCGTCTCGCCTGGCGGTGCCCAAGAAGAGCTTCCCCAGCCAGAGCCATCAAACAGAGAAGAGTTTCGTCGCTTGATGGAGCTGTTGGAAGAGCAACAGCGTCATTTGATCAGTCTCATGGCGCAGAGGGAGGCTGAAAGTCAAGATGCACAGGCCAGGCAGGAAACCGCGGGTATGGGGCTCATCGAGGCGATTTTCAATCAGGAGGAAGACTTGGCTTTGGCCCTGATCAAGTCGTTGCGGCCAGGTTCCATTGAGAATATGGCGGATCCGGCTGGCATGACGCCCCTGCATTGGGCGGTCCGCACTCAGAGCCTGTCCATCCTGTGGGCAATCCTGGAGAAAACGCCAGGATTGGCAGACCGCCATACAAGCATAGGGCGGCTGCCGCCGCACTGGACACCACTGATGGTGCTTGCAGACCAAGGCAAAAATCAAAATCCGGTGCACGTGCAGATGGCTTCGGCACTAGTAAGGCATATGTCAATCAATGGGCTGCAGTGCCGCGGTGGTACACTGGCAACGGTGTCCCACCTGGCCGCTGCCCGCGGACACATTCACATCTTGAAGAAGGTCCTCTGGCGGCTCAATGACCTGGGCCAGCACAAGCTCGTCATGAGCCACCTAGAGATGGCCAACAGCGTGGTCTCTCGTTTGCTAACTACGACTGTAATAGTAACGGTCATCATAATGCATAGGTTGAATTGATCCTTAGGCCGTAGGTAGGTCCTTAGGTGAGTCTTACTCTTAATCAATCCATGGTCCTCATAACTCAATTAATTTATTTAAGTTATTTATTCAGTATTCATCATTATGTTATGATAAGATCATCTCAGGGGCGCAGTTGCTTGGATGTGGCATTCAGATGCTCTTCCGAGACGGCTTCCTACCTGATCTGGTGGCAAGCACCGAGTTTCTTTGATGCGCCCACTGACCGAGAACGACAGAGCCAGCACAAGGATCGCTCGGCGGCGACTTTCAGAGGCGGGCAATCGGCATCGGCATCCCGAGGTCGGATGGCTCCCATAGCCAATATAAATCTACTGTCAACTACTCTTGTTGAAAGGTTTTGTAAGCCTCGTAGTAGACTCATAGATTCATAGACTCATAGACTCATAGACTAGATTCGGTTGATAAACTGGCATAGGCATAGGCGTTATGGGTTCACAAATCATGCCGCCCGACAGGTCCAGGCTACTACAGTGATCCAACTCGCTGAGAAGCCCGGTCTCGGACCTGGAATTTATACTCGGATGAACCTGGCACGGATCTGATTCGATTATGATATCGATAGAACGTGATGAAATCATAAATCATCTCATATATTGTCGATCCATAGTCAGGATTCACGGGTATGATTCCGGGTGCATTTCATTCCAGCTCCACATAGCTATTTTCCAGCTGAGCTGGCGTGCTATAAGAGCCCCAAATTGCCAGGGATGGGTCGAGTTTATACTCAATGCCAATGCAGGCACTGACTCAGCATCAGATTGTAGGAACATTCTGATTCTGGGTCTCGGACCACGTTCCTGGCAATGAGGAATTTCTGTCGACCCTGACAGAGGTCAATCGCCACTTGCCATGGTGTGCGACAGTGGCTGTGGCGTGCCCAAAAAGTCGGCTCTGCAACATGCCTTTAATCAAGGAGTCAAGTCTACAGACTCTTCGCAGTTAAGTTTGAGTCCTGCTTCGACTGTTGTTGCAACTGAAGCTGTACTTTACATAATTTGTTATTTATTCTAACTAACTATTATCTAGTTGGGGTCGAAAATCAAGAATCAAGAACCCAGTGACCCCAATGCCCCAATGATTGCCAGTGATTCAGCCCCTCCGATATCCACATTTCATATTCAGGTTCATATGACAGAATATTTTCTTATACATATACTTGCGGTATTCTAGGATAATTGAACTGATGTCGAATGCATAAAGTCATGCAGTCGTGTAGTCTTTGCTGCTGGTCTTTGCTAGATCGACACGACACGAACAGTCTTGTTCGAATGATGTTCCATCTATCCATCGTCCAGCAAGAAAGAGACATAGAAAGTTCGTTCGTGATGCAGGACCACCAACTCACGTTTGCGCTGGATGCTGCCGAGATGAGGCCGAAGCGAGAGTCAAGGCGTCATCTCTGGTTTCTGAGTGCTTACTTCGACCTGTTGTTGTCCCGGCCTTGAACAAGTGGACGAAGGTCTTTCCGTGCATCGGCGCGTGTGTGCTTCTCGGGTCTTTCAGTGATGTGGCCCAGTCTATTTTTCGGGAGAGATTTGGAGATCGAGAGGTGCATTCGCTCTCCGAGCTGGATAGTTCCGATGATGCAGATGATGAGGCCCTGCATGTTCCAATCAATGAAGTCAAGCGATGGATCAAGCTAGCAAAAAAACGCAATGCAAAAGCAACCAGTTTCCTTTGTGATGGGCAAGCACGATTCCTGAATATGTTGTGGGTTCTTGTTGCAGCTCCGTGCATGAAGCTCCATTGGATTCTCTTCAAGACAGCCACGTGGTATTCAGATCGAGGCCGAAAGCAGCCGGGTCCAACAGCCAGCGACGTACAAGAGCAAATCTTGACAGTAGGGCAATTTTGTGTTCCATCCAAGAACCCCGGCAAGAAAGTGATGAAGGAACTTCAATTCCAGCTGGAGGACCCAAGTTCGGCTTTCAGGTTGCTGTGTTTCTTCTTCGGCGAGTTCGAAGATTGGCCTCAGGCCCGGAAGCGAATTGCTTTGAGAAGTATATTGCTCACTATTGGTCAGTTGGCAAGAAAAGTGATCGAGCCTTTCCTCTCCTATCCATGGAAGCTGTATGAACTATCGCTCCCCGACATAGATCTGGACTATCAGAAAAGACTACTTCGAGAACTATGCAATGCCCCCGCCTGCTGTTTGGATGCTGGCTTCAGTGGCAAGTTGAAGGCTTTGGTCGTGAGAGAAGCAGCGGTAGAGCAAGGCTTGTCCACTGAGTTGAGAGAGTTCATGTTCGTCGTGTTTGAAAGAGTGGTACTGACATCAACCTTTGTGGAGAGAAGGTTTGCTCATTTCAATCATTGGACAGATGTCAAGGGGAAGGGAGTCTCTTTGGCTCTTCTGGCAGCAAAGCACATCACCAGGGTTTTCCAAGATGCTGTGGAGGTTTGGAAACATCGTATCCAGGCACCTCGCTCTCAGAGCTGGTCTCGTCGTCCTTCCTGGTGTCGTAAATCTGACACAGTAGCACGACAGAATGGCATGCATCTATTTGCTCAAGACAGACGTCAGTCCATGAGTGGTTCTTGTCGTGGAAGCCAGGCATCAAGGCAGTTCCTGGAAGAATCACAGGAGGCGTGGAAGTTGCTGAGCGATGAAGAGAAGAAATCGTGGGGCGAGCGAGCTCGGCAGAGCAATGCTCGTAAAGCAGCTCTGCAAATGGCGGCTGCTGCAAAACGGCCGCCCGATGTCCCTGGCGGGCCTTGGAAGTTATCTCAGCCCTCGGCACAGTGGCCGTTGTCTGAGAAATTTCTCACCGATTTTCGGGCCCAGCACACGTTTGCCTCGGCTCAGAATCGATGGTGTCAGGCGGGAATTTATGGTTCTTGTGGTGTTACGTGCTAAGGCTGAGTTTATACAGTTTATAATGTACAATGGCCCAATAGTTACGAGATGAGGTCTTTGGACCTTTGGATCAGGTCAGGGAGATCGATTCTTATTATTTATTACTACTTATTATTTATTACTTGAAACTGCCTATGAAATATTGCAGGCGCATGCCGTACCGATGTCAGTCGCGCAGGATATCGCCGTTCGTGATGATCGAACTTTGTTCCAAGCTTGTCCGCATGCAAGTTGTGTTGCGGATTGTTCTGAAGAGGAGACCGTTGTGTTCGGCCGCTTGCACACGTGCTTGTCCGTGCTGATCAAGAGATTCGACCCAGCAAAGAAAAACATCAGTGCCTTGCCCCTGACGCTTCTTTTTGAATGCAAGGACCAGAAAGATAGTGCTATCTTTATGCTTGCATTTCGCACGTACATGCAAAATGTCGATGCAATATTTCTGGAACTGGACTCGGACAAAGATCTCACAGTGGATTCGAGCCCTCCGTTCACTCTCAAGTTCAAGAAAGAGAGACTCACTGGTAGCATCATTTGGAACAATGACCTATCCGTTTGCAAATCTTTGGCAACCAGAAGTCGGACATGGGATATATCTCGTTTGACTTTGGGGGATTTGCAACACGACCTGTCTTCTTTTCTGGTTTGTGACAAGCTACCTCATGATTTGCAAGATCTGCTGTCTGAAGCAGCACAGCTCAAGGAACAAGAGCGTGCACTCAGGGCTGTGCGATTGCTGCAGAGAGCACAGAGGAGGCCACGGCCGCGGTCTCAGAACATGCGTGGCCGGGGCGGAGGTAGACGTCGTGGCAGAGGCAGAGCCGCCCGTCCTCGTCTTGTTGCGGGTGATGACGGAGATGACGAACTGGAAGAAGAGGATAATGATGATAATGATGATGGTGCAGCTGAGTTTGATGATGCAGAGTGGGAGGGGAATTTCAGCGGAGATGACGAGGATGATGTTTGGGGACTTGAACAAGCGGAGACTCCAGGCCCAGATATGGAAAGGCCCTCGAGTTCAGCAGGTCATGTATCTTCATCCGCTGTCTCAGCTGGAAGAAGTGCGGGAGGCGATGTCGATGCTGCCGCTGCCGTTCCCCCTCCGCCTGCTCCCGTCGCTGAGGACCCGGGCCAGCGGGCTGTTCGCCGAAACCAGCGAAGAGGTATACCCTGGGGTCCCTTTATGTTGTCACCTATTGTACCTCATCATGGTAGACAAACTGGCTGGGGTGCAATTTGCAACCTGCATTGGGATAGAGGTGAGGGGGCTAGCAGCACCCAGTGCAAAAAAGCAGTATCCTATGGGACCATGGATGATGCTACTTGCATTCTGAGACTGAAACGTTGGCTGTGTGCCGGTTTGCACGATGATGAGTTTCCCCAAACCAATCCGCGAACCCATCACGTGAAGATGGGGGGTCCGGGTTTGGTGAGTTTCGCGGAGGGCAAGAACGAGGAGGAAATGGATATCGAGGTCGCAGCCTACCTCAGTTAATGGGTGGTCGGACTCCGTCCTGGGCTGGATTTCTCTAGTGGTACTGCATGGTCTCCCAGCGAATCTTCTTCCTGGAGTGATAGGCAGACGGGTCTCTTCTGTAGCCGCGTGTCTGCAATAACAGCATTCTCTGTCTCAGGCTGGACATTAGTCGTAGTAGGCAGTCCTCCTTCGGAATATGACATTACATGCATGCAGCAGGACGTGTTCTTGAATTGGGGTTTGCTCAGAAGTGTTCTTTGACAGTTTAAGTCTTAGAGTCTTAGAGTTTTGTTTTAGAAGTACTTAGTTGTTTTGTGGCAACTGCGTACCTGATTGGAGTGTTTCAAAAAGTGGGCTGTACTTGTAATGCCTCAGAATGACTCTCGTTCCAGCTGATTGTGAAAGGGGAGAGGGGGCAGGGGGCTTCTGTTCCGTCCAAGAATTTGGACCTCCCTAATTCCTATATCTTGCACGACAAAGGCCACAAAAATACAAATTTTCGGATCCTCTGGAATATATTTACGAAATATTTTCAATTTCAGTAAAAAATATTTAAAATATTTCAAACAATTTTAGAAATATTTCGAAATAAATAAAACAATTTTAGAAATATTTTCAAATAAATAAAACAATTTTAGAAATATTTCAATTATTAAAATGTGAACACTAATTGTGGTTTTGTGAACACTAATTGTGGTTTTGCGAACACTAATTTGTGTTTAGTGTTCACATTCCGTTTTTTTTAAAAAAAGTTAAAATAGTTTTAAATATTTAGAAATATTTTAAAATTGTTTCAAATATTTCTGAAAATAGTTTTAAACTTGTTTCAAATATTTCTGAAAATATTACAAATATTGTAAAACCAATTTGGGAATTCACAGATTCGGATAGAACTCTGTTGTACTTTTCTGAGAAATTACTTGCAGCACTTGGGCACAGAGCCTAGCTAAGGTATTTCCAGCACGGGCCGTGGGCCAAGCGGCAACAATCCCAACGACATCTCTCGAGCTGTGTGCAGCAGCCAGGGGGAAAAGCAATCGTGCATCGGCATTGTAGGCTGAAAACTCACTGAGAAGTTCTGAGCATTCCTGCTGGCTGGAAGCGACGACCAGGCTCGAAGCCGAGCCCTGAAAGTGAAAGTCTTTAGTGTCGCCCGAGGAGGCAGTCCCATGCCGTAGTCAATGAATTGAGATTTGAAGGCATAGATCATGAATCATGATAGACTATAGATTCCTCTTTCCTCGGAGGTTCGCAACCAGTAGAGTGTGCCGTGACAAGCCATGGCTAGTGATAGCGACAGCAGCAGCAGCAGCTCGGCATCCAGTGCTTCTCCCTCAGCAGCCAGAAAAGCTCAGCAAACCCAGGCTTCAAAAAAGCGCAAGGCGGCTGAGGCCCGGATGTTACCGATCCTCGAGTGTTTAAGTCTTCTATTACAGCAGCTGAACTTAGCATGGTTTCATTAGCAAGTAGAAAGCCTTAGGCCCTAGCCATAGGCCATAGTCTATACGGAGTCTATACCATACGCATTGTGGATTGTAGTCTAACTTGTGTAGTAGTGTAGATATCGGCTTAGCCCCCAGGTCCCCAATTTTAAAGTAAGTATGACTCACAGGTTCAGGATGGTTTCGGCGATGGGGGGGAGTCTTGCTTTGGCTTTGAAGCTGACGCCCGATCCAAGACATCCTTGGGTAGAAGCTGCTGCGACGACTCCGCGATCCCCATACAGCACCCCAAGAAGCCCTGCGTTTGTGGACTTTGTGGTTGCAAAAGCAGCGACCCGAATCCTATAAGCACCGGTGGCTGCTCTGATGCAGCGAGCACAGAGGGGGATGAGAAGTGCATCGCGTGGGGAAAATACAGAAAAGTGCAGTCCGCCTCTGGCGTGGTCCGGGTGCCAGTAGGAGCCTCAGACGGAATCTGCCGAAACGTCTATCGCTTGTTGGGCTTCCCCCACAAATATGGTTCGCAGGCAGAGTACCTCAAGAAAGTAGAAGCTAAGCAAGTGGATCATGATGAGTTTTTGAAGAGTCGTGCAGAGTACGTGAAAAAAATGAAGAAAGGTGGCCAGGCAGGGGCTCGCACCAAGAAGCGTGAAAAGGAGGACTTGAAGACCGCCTCTACCTTAAAGACGGTGAAAGATACGGGCGTGAGATTCGAAGGTCCCTTGATGCAGTTCATCGATATCACCCAATGGGATGCCAAGGAGGACGGCGTTCTGGACGAGACCAAAATCGTGGAAGAGGCAGGCTTTTTGGTGCTTAGTGCTTAGGAGGAGTTCAGTAGGGCTTACGGCATAGGCATAGGGTTTCAGCTTCAGGGTTTAGGTTATGGGGGGGTGAGCGGTTTAGTTAGGGCTTTGGGCTTTGGGCTGAATAGGGCTATTAACTGTTAACAAGTAATCAATATGAGTCGCAGGAGATCAACGGTGAAACCGTCAAAGGAATCTACAAGATGAGAGGAAGAAGGGGTTGTTATGATGTCAGGAACTTCGACACGAAAAAGGCCCGGACGGAGACGGAAGAACACTCCAAGAAGGATTCGAAAGCCATGTTCGCTGACCAGGCCCTCGCCAATAAGAAAGTGGCCATACAGGCGGCATTCACTGAGACTCATCAGGAACGTGTCTCCAAGGCTGTTGAGGCAGCTCCCACGTCTTATGATGCAGAGGGCATCCTGGCCCTGTTGCAAAGCTCTGTTCTTGGAGGAAATGCAACAGCGGCCTCCGGCCTGGCAAAACCTGCAGACAAGGACCAAAAGGAGTCGGATGGTTCTGATGAGTCAAATGCAGAGCTGGATGAGTCAAGTTCCGAAAGTGACGATGAGGGCAAAGCTCAGGAACGTTTGCAAAGCTTGGCAGGAAAGAAGAAAGCTAAAGCGAAATCTCAACCGAAAGCCGCTCCCAAAGCATCGACCGCGAAGGCAGGGCCAACAAGATCGACAGTTTCAGTCTCATTGCCACCAGTGGAAAAGACACAATCGCAGCAGCCGTCTAAAGCAAGCGCTCCGAGCCAGCCAGCGAAGAAGCCGAGTTCCGATGATTTCGGTGCCGTCGCTTCGCCAGCAAAGACGTTGAACTTGGACGGTCGTGGCATGAGATTGAAAGACAGCCTCAAGAAGGAGCTTGCGGAGCTCAAGCTCAAGTTCGAGGGTCAGCTCGGTTTTGGAAATGACTACAACTTCTTGGACAAGAAGGAGCATGCCGCCCGACAGCGGTCTTTGACCGGGGTGTCAAATTCCGTCCAGAACTCCATGCGTCGTATTGAGAACAGTCCAAACAAAGTCTCTTTCGAGTCGGAGATTGAGGGTTTTGAGTCATTGCGGTCGCTCGTCCAACATGCTTTGGACTTGAACACGGCCTTGGCTTCGACCACTGGCGGTCCCAAAGCCATTGAGGATCCGTACGAATGTTTGAAAGAGAACGGGCTCATTCGTGTTGGATCCTGTTTTTGGTTTAAGCTCTTGGAGTGCAAATTGAATGAGAAGATCCTCTTCAAAAACCTTTCGGATTATGTTGGCGTGCTTTGCGAAGACAGCAAAGAGGTCGCTTGGCATGCATTCAGGATTTTGGACTTTTGGATGATTATGAATTCAAACTTATAATTATCTCATAGACTCGTAACAAGTAGTACTAAGTCAAGTCACTAAGTCTTTAAGTTCTTTCACTAGAGTGAAATTGGTATCCTGACGAATACTGCGTTGTCACTATTAATAATAAACTTTTATTATATTATATTGTTCATTTCAGGTTTGTGCTCTGAATGATCTGGGGGTCTCGGACAATGTCCGCGAGTTTGTGCATGCGGACGTCGAAAGTCGGATGACGACCTTTTTGGGCAAGGAGGACGTGTTGAAAGATGGGTCCTGGGGGCGGAACCAGGCTAGGAACCTGGCTTCGGAAGTATGTGACCAGAAGAGCAACAGCCTATTTGAGAATGTCATATTCACGTGCGAGCTGACCCGTGATCTGCTCGCAGATGATATCTCGGGAATGGCCAGTGCCTTGGAGAGGTTTGCAAAAGTGGCAGAGGAGGATGTCTTAGAGGATGGAGTCCTCCAATTCTTCCAGAAACACAAAATCGGCATGCAGATCATCTCCCAATGCAAGGCTAGGACCTGACATTAGTTTTCATAATACTTTATCTGCTGTAGCCTGTAGTACTAGTTTATCTGAGGAATTAGAACTAGGCCCCAAGCCCTTAGCCTTAGCCTCAAGACTCACTTTGTCAGGCCCAGGTGGAAGCCGGACAAGCCCAGCTCCAGGAAGAGCTGCATGTGAGCAACTTGGAAGCGGCCCTGAAAGAGGTGAAGGACTTTCAAGGCGAAATGACCGGTCATGCCATCTCCGATGTGGTCGCACATTTCTGGAAGCTGAAACAATCCAAACAAGAATCCAAGCTTATGCAGAAGCACAAACTGAGGGTTCAGAGTATCATCAAAGAGTTTTGGGAGGTCCTCACCGTGGCAATCCAGAACATCTTGTCGAGCACGATGTGCTCATGTATTGAAGATCTTCTTCATCGGCTGGAAGCCGAAAACACTAAAGAGGAAGTCCAAGAGTTTGACTTGGAAGAGACGTTGAAGACAATGAGGTGTTCGGATATCCTTCATCATGACTTCTGGAGCGACGTTGGGTTGAAGAAGTTGCCCCAATCCTTGACGCAGCTTTTCGACAGCTATGCCAAGGCGTGTGACACCAGCGGGCCACTCATCGAGTATGTCTTCGCCAAGAGCAAGATAGGGCAGATAGGGACTACTCGCAGTATGAAAGATCCGACGTCTGATCTCCTACATGAATGGACCTCGTGTGATGTGCTCGTCTGTGCTTTTGTGGATGAGCAGGGTATTCTTGATGGTTTCAGAACGACTTTTGTGAAAGTCGCTCAGAAAGAGCTTCATGACAAAGCCATGACAGCCTTCCAGGATGTAGGTCGCATGATTTCGAGTTGCATATCAGCGGTCTCAGACCTGGAGGCTATGGCAGGACAGTTGGCGGAGGTCAAGGATAACACAGCAGCACT